TATCTGTATGGAATTCACACTGCCATGTATATTTTACCATACTAAATATTTAATATATTTATGTAATTTAAATTTACAGAAAGACATTTTGTTCAGCATATTCCCTTTTGAATATACATTCCCAGTTATGTCAGTTATTGTTGCATCCATTGTTTTCATATTTCTGTAGCAGCCAGTAAATTACATATACATTACATGAAATGCTAAAATTGTAAACCAAAAACCCTTCTCCCATCCAAAATAAAATCTTCTTTGCCTACTATCCAAAACAGTGGCAGGGTGATAACATATCCTGACTTTGAGTCTGTGAACTTCACTTGCTGTAATCCATCCTCATGTACTACATTTTTTCATATTTCGGAAACAGGTTAATCTGAAGAAAACCTTATTTACATTTTCTGCTCCAAATGATCTTCCCAACAACCTCCTTAAGGATTGTACTAGAGCTTTGAATCACCTTGTATACATTCATTTCAAAATTATAATTCACAGAGAAATACATGTCATTAAGTGGTACATATTTGATTCTTCTCTCATATATTACATGAAGATATAAACCCATGCATTAAAGATAATAAAAATGTTATCTTGTTTAACACTCTTATCTTGTAACAGGAAAGTGGTATTTCTCTTGCATTATCAGGTTGTTCATTGTGTTATTTCAAGAACTGATAACTGTGACAAAAACTAATCTGATGAAACATCCTCTCTTTACTTTAGTTTACAGGTGACTACCAGTATACTAGATTGCATGATTATCAGACTTTTCAGCACCTATCCAGAATAAGCTGTGTAGCCAAGGTACAAAATAGTTAAGAACAATCCTGAAACATTTAATTTCAGTTTTAAAGCTGGATTATTCTTTGTGTTTAGTGGAAGTGTTATAACTGAAATATTATTTAGGACACTATATTTTATATTTTTGTTGTCTAGTGAGTTTTTTTCAAACTGGGGTTGTGGCTCCCCAGGGGATTTTGAAGCTTAAGTCAGAAGGCATACTGTTGGCTTCTCAAGATGGACTCTGCTCAATGGAGTTAGTTAATAAACATTACATCAGTACTATTTATTTAAATTCACATTCCTAACATTTGAATGTTTAGCAGGTGATTCATTTTTGTTTCTAGTTCCTATAATAATTGCTTGTATCACTTTTGTCTGTTACATTATCTGTGTTTCAAGGTCCTTTTAGCTTCCTTTTCTGCCAAGTTTCTGTCGTCATGGCACATCCATGAACAGGCATTTTCCCTTTCTGTCTCAAAATTATCAGGCTTGCTGCAGGTTATAGTTCTACAGTATAATGGTTTCCGATTATAAAATATAATTGAATATAGACGCTATTATATCATTGTTTTTCTTTTTGTGTCAGTATTAGTTATTCAGGTAATGAGGGTAACTCAGTCAGTAAAATGACTTGGTATATACAGGATGACCAGACTTTGATTCCCAGCAGGTGTAGGTGCTTTTATCTTTACTATCATATGAAGACAGACTCTGAGATTCACACATCTTGTTACTCAGTGGGTACTGGGAATTCTTTTTTCGGGTTGAAACCAGCTGAGTAAAACTGACGTCTATCTAGTTTGAAAGTTAAAAATGTATGTAACTCTTGTCTTATCTTCTCTCCAACTATGTGACTGCAAGGTATAGTGTTTGGGCACTATACTACTACTGGTACAATTTATTGTGATTTTTAAGCTTACTACAAACTGTTACAGTAATAACATCAGCTATTGAGTGTGAGGTAATGGGCTCTAATGCATCACATATGATTGATGAAGTCATGATTGAGGAATATGTTGAACTCACATATCTGAAGAAGGCTGAGATACAATAGTAAGTTACAGATAGCATTTTGATGAATAAAAGTAACTTATGACTACATAGTATTTTTGTATCATATCAATTCCTGTGACATGATTCTGTGGAAATAATAATCCTCAAAATGTCATACACATAGCAGATTATGTGTGCCGAATTGTATCATTGTGGATGCTTTTATGTCAAGGCAGGAATAAAAAGTAGCAGATGGAATATCATGTACTGTTCACGACTGTAATCTTGAGACTTACAAGGAATGCAGGAAGTCCGGAGCATACTACTGTACTGCATAGCAGATTCTCTTTCCTCCTTTGCCCCACTTCCTCACCCCGCAAATCTCAAGATTACAGTCACAAACAGTGCAATGTATTATGTGTATGTGGGCCTACTTCATAGGACTATGGTTCACATAATCTTAACACATGAGTGATTTCACATTATGACGAGTCTTAATGGAGAAGAAACGTTTTGTAAAACAATTTTATTTTATATCTCAAACAGTATTTGGAAGTATTTTTATGCCATGAATACTGATGCTGTCAGTAGAGACTGTTGTTGCTTTCTACCAGTTGCTCATCTGGAAGAGCTCCTGCCTCAATTAAAGGTAATTTTTCCAATAAACTGCAGAATACATAACACAAAGTAGGTTTCTTGCTTATCTCATGAAAAAACAATTCTATAATGTCTGGTTCCATTTTTGCAGAATTATAAAATTAAATTATAATATTAATTCTTTTTAACCAGGTAAATCCTTTCGTAGATCGTTTATATGATGTCTTCTTTCCAAGACGAGGGCGGAATGGGGAAATTTATTTCTCTTTTGAAGACATGTTGGATATGTGTTCTGCATTGTCCCCTGAATGCCCTGACAAAGTAAAAGCTATGTGGGCATTCAGGGTCTTTGGTAAGTGTGAAAAATTGAATATTCTCCTGTATGACAGTGGTACTTGAGATAGTATTGAAAATGGTGAGGATGTCATAGCTTTTGTATTTTACAATTTTTGTGAACAATTTTTGTTACAGATTTCAATAATGATAACTATATCGATGAAGAAGATCTTACAATGATAATTGACAGACTGACACAAAAGAAGCAACTTACATATGATGAAAAGGAGAAAATTATAAAAATTGTAAGTACTGAGCATTTGTAGTGAGAAAGGACTGTGGTTCTTGCTGTAAAATAAATATTAATAAAAACCTAATACATGGCTTCAGTCTAACACACACAATTTAGTAGTGCTCAGTATTCATGATATGGTTTGGCACTTATGCTATTTTCAGTTGACTTTTCAACTGTTTTCTTTTCTCCATATTTGGTTAAACACATTATCTCTCTCCATTATCTGTTTATTTATTATTACTAATTTACATTTTTATCAGTTACACTATTTTATACATTCACCAGTAAAATCCCTTTGGTTACAAAATTGATTTCATTAGTTACAATATCCAGTTACAGTAGAGTCCCAATTATCTGGCCTAAACTGGACTGAAGGATGGTAGGATAATTGAAAATGTTGGATAATACAGACTAATGAAAAAGATGATGGTAAATATCAACTCAGTTTATAATTTAATTTATATTAAATTATGAAGAAAGTACAATATAGCATCAGATTAAAAAAATCTCACAAGCAAAAATATTATATAACATAAATTGTAAATGAGACAGTTTTTTTTTAGAAATTAGTAACGTGTACTTACATCTGAGCATCTTTCCTTTTCTTTGCATCAAGGTCATGCCAACACCTGAACAGTCTGTAGCAACTGAGTACATAAAATGTAGAAGGTGTAGTGATTTGGGAGTGTGATTCATTCCAATACATGCTGAGTTTATTGTTGATAAAATGGGGCATTCTGACACATAATCATATAAAGTGGAGTGTCAGATAATCAAAGGTCACGTAATCGGGACTCTACTGTATGTCTACATATTGCTAATCCATTCATGATTATATTCATTTGAATATGGATTCCTTCTTTGGAAAGTTGTTAAAATCAGGAAGATGATATGGGACTAAAGAATTTAGTGAGTGTAGTACTTGTTTGCAGGTTAAATATGAATATATATGTATATTTAAAAATCCTCAGAAAAATGTAAGGTTTTTGTCTTCACATGTGTCTTGATGAAACACTGATTCAGTCTGCATATGGGCTAATATGTTGACTAGTTAATTTCATAAGGTAACAGTGTGACCATTCACGAGGTGCTTGATTGATTTATTCATTATTTCTTTACCCACTGGTATCAAAATGTACGCTACATGATTGTTAATTAATCCATAAATTACTTTGTTTCAGATTCTGAAAGAAGTGGACCTGGGTAAGTCTGGTAAAATATCATCAAGGGAGTTTGTTCATGCTGTTACCAAGATGCCAGACTTTGCCACATGTTTTCAGTTGAAAGTGTAAACATGGCTTCTGGCATGAAATTTTGTGTTACATCATGCTGCTGGACCACAAAATATTAAGGCAGAATATGCTTACCAGTAATTAAAATGTATCTTGCATATTTAATACATGATTTTCTGGTGTATAACTTGTTATATGTTTAGAAGTATGAAGTTTCAGTTCTAATGAAAAGGCAGCAGGACTAATCAAACATATTGAATAAGTAGTTGTAGACAGGTGAAAAACTGTGGACCTCCCTCCAGCTTTAGAGTTTGGTTGGCGTCACCATAAAAACGAACATGAAATGGCCATCAGTTAGGTGAATTCTTTGGAATGACCTAAGCAACAGAAAATGGAACAAGTTTTGTGTGTGTGTGGTGTATAACACTGTGAACTGACAATAGAAATTAATGTAAATATTTATTTTGACAGCTTACTGTTGAAGATTATTTACATGTGATGGAAATTTTAACAAATGATGTGCATTTCAATGTCTACAATGTTTGATACAAGCACATTCTTGTGGCTTGGATCTTTGTTGCTTTTATTGTCCTGCTTGGTCTCGTGTTCACATTGTTTGGATTGGGAGTTATGTGGCCAGTCCTGAATGCAGCAGCCATATTTTTATGTATGTGGATCAAAATCAAAGTGTGTATCATGTAATTTACCAACAGCTTATTGACAGGCCTGACTTCTAATCCTTTAGTTAACACTTTTACTGACAGGAAGACTTCACAGGCTTTCTATTAAAACTGAATGACACATCAGAGATATCTGTACCCAGTATTATATGAAGCAGAAAATCCTGAAAACCAGTATTTTGCATGACAGTACCATCTTGTAACGTATATATAAGTTATATGCAGCAGAAACCAAATGCTGGCCTTGTAATCCTGGGGTCCTGGGTCTGATTCCTGGTGGTGCCCAAATTTATAACTTGTGTTGGGCAAGGCCGTGGTCTAGGCAATACGGAGTTTTCCTCCGGGGCTTCTCCGGTTTCTTCGTGACATCCCAACAATTACTCCATACACACAGAAGAAGGCAATGGCAAACCACTTCTGTACCACCTGCCTAAAAAACATATATGAACAGGTCCCAGTCTGAGAAAAGGATGGAAGGATCCTGTTCATAATATGTTGCCAAACTCCTGTAAAGGAGACGGTGTAATAAAGAAGAAGTAGAAACCAAACCTGTAAGATTTGGTCAGATTGAATTATGGTGGGCCTGGCAGTTCTCAAGCCTCATGAATGTGTTGGTGAGTAAAATTTTGAACATGTTATTTCACTTGTCTCCCCAGCTCTGGAATGTCATGAAGTGGAACTTGTTTTGGCCATTAAAATCTGAGAAAAATGTTTTAATGTGATTGTACAATTCATTTGTACAAAACTTTCAGTGATGTTCTTGTCATTTGATTAAATGAACATGAACTATTATTACAAGGGCAGTTGGGGGTAACTGTTATTTATGTAATAGTTCAGTTGCTGCTATCATTGGTCCCCAAAATATACCTGTATTCCTTAATGTTGATGTTACATTTTTGAGCCATATGTAAATTATCCGCTTAGTATGTACCTTGCAATATCGTCTTTCTTGAAACAGAAATCGGTACATGAAGTATAGGAAATAATAAGATGTACAAACACTTGGCTTGGTTATGAACATTGCTTCTGCCATATCGATTTACTGAATATTGGTTAAGTGTAAATCGGAATGCTTCTGTAATTTGGAAATTTTTGCTCACTTAGGAGTACGAAAACTAAACGCTACTAGGTCGGTTCAGAGTGACTTATTTTACAGGCTGTAATACACTGTACGCTGTGCTGATTTTAACGTCTTTCGTGTTAAGTGTATTATTAATTCACCCCGGCTGCACTTTACCCCTGGGAAAGGACCACAGTACCCATTGGATAGGAGGCTGGGTGGCTTTTATATAATAAAGTTAATTCCACATACACTTTATTTAAAATAAGTATAAAGTGTTATCATTACTCACTTTATTGTATGATTATGTTGACCACCTGTCTGTTATACATTTCTGGGGAGAACTTAAAAACATTATTACTAGATTTGCTACATTAGCCCCTGAGTTAAAAAAAACATAATTTTTCTAATTTAACACAGAATTTTTTTACTTATAATTTTCTATCCCTCTGACGAATCTTTATTCTTTGCATAAAACTGATTTTATTCTAACAAATAACATTTTGGACCTGGGCAAATTACAGTGTACTGAAACAAAACTTGCCAAAGTGACTGTACAGCCTTGGAAATATTATATTATGAAATGTGCAATAACAGATGGCCATCTGAAGTATGGACTGTAAAGTACATTACACTGAATTTTTCTAAAAATCCTTCAAACATTATAAACACCAAGTTGTAAAGTATTACATATACATCATCTTATATTTTAATTATTATCAGACAGTGTAATATATGGTTACTGACATTTGGAAGAGAATTTATTTTTTTTGCAAAAAACAAAAGTACCAACATCTGGTAATATCAAAGTAGTCAACCTGCACATAAACTAAATACCGAGCAATTTGTAACATGTAAACATTATACTGTATTTGCCAGAGTATAATGCATATTTCTTACCTCTGAAGCCCCCAGAATTTACTGCATATTATGTTCATATTTCCAAAAAATGTTCATTGTATTCAGAAACTATCTGATAATATTTTTTACAACTGATGTGAATGCTGGGGTCACATTAACATTGAGGCAAATACATCAAATTCAGAAGCTCATAAAAAAAGATGAGATCTAAGATTTAGTTTTGTTCTCTTTACAGTGTCTGAAGTACAGGGGACGCTAGTCCACTTATATTCAAAACATTTCACATTTCTTGTGTGTTTAGAGCGTTAAAAAATTAAAACTAATTAGCTTCATAATACAGTAAAAATACTGATAAAATTACACCAGGAAATGCATACAGTGAAATTGAAACTGTTCTTGTATGTACTCTGAGTACACCTTTTGCCTGTATCTGAATCAGACAGGGATGTTGTACCTACAGTTAAACATTTTTAATGGGACATAAAACTCAGCTTATGCAGTTCAAACCCACATCATACTTTTTCAAGTGTACAGTAACACCAATTTAGAAACAAAAAATGGAGGAGTATCTCGAATGCTAATCATTTCCTGTGTATTAATCAATGTGCTGGGGAGGGACAAAATGGTAATCTATCATGGCAGTAACATTACAAATACATTAGCCAAAGAAACCTCCTTTATCAGTGATTAGCATTAGCTTTTATTACCAACAATTATTTAAATTACGAATATTGGCATGCTGTCCAGTTTCCTGTCTCATTTGTATGTGAAAATTCAGAAAATGGAGCTTTGTTATTAACTTACACACTGATGAACAGTTACAGTTCATAACGAGCATCCACAACATTAAAACTTGAACCATCTTTTGTTAACAGTAAAAATGAAGTACAGGTTCACATGCTGGAGTTCATTTGTAAAGGAACTGCAAATTATATGTATATGCACATGCATACAAACATTCCTAAAATGCATATCATTCTGGTGCACTTTTCAATAAAATTGAAATAATACATATAATGGTAACACTTATTTTGACAATGATAACATTAATTCATTGATGTCCTCCACAGAATTATTTGGTGGCATGTCTAAATTCTGTTCAAAATTTCTCACTTCAATGACATAACCACCAGAAATAGTAAATCATACTGTAAATTTAACATGAATGCTACTTTTATCATGCTACTAGCAAAAGAAAAACATGACCAACCATTTGGTATAAGGTAGCTACATCATCACAAATTAATTATATTGCACATGAACTGTCCAAGTTGCCAAGTTTAAATCAATATAAGAACTTAGGTTAAAAATACAACCCTAGAATGAAAGACAATTTTGTATATACTAACTAGTATAAATCTGTGGTGAAATTTCTTCAGAAAATGATGATAACTCAACATACTGATGATTCTCTTGGAAATTAATCTTGGAATCGTTCCTGATTTCATACTTTAAAACTCTAATAAGAATTTAGCACATTGACCATCGCAGCTCATGTGTGTTATAAAGAAGCAAAAATATTTATGTGCTTACTGTAAGCAGTAAATTTAAATTACTAAAATATATGTAATTGTTTAGCTTTATTGGCATTTATAAACAGAAGATTTAAATTCTGAACAAAGAGCAAGATAGAAATCACACTAAAAGGATAAATACCTTCCATCAGTTTTGAAATGTATAGTGAAGAACATAATCGGTTTTTGGCTCAAAACAAGTGCAGACTAAATGAGTAGTAGATTTTACCCCTAGTAATTTTTCTCTTTCTAAAATTTGTTTGGAAAGATGTTTCATTTTTGATACCACGTTTCATGACTCAAATATGACACATTAATATTGCATTTTCAATGATATGTTTCCATAGTTTATAAATTTCAACAGAATAAAGGCTTAGTTTCTTTGATTTTGTCACACTAAAACAGCTGCAAATTCATGGGTCAGTAGTTTTTATCCACATTATACTAGATTAGAATCCCATCCAAAACTATTATTATATATGTGAATCTTATTGTTCATGGATTTGTTATATAAGAAGTACAAATATATTTTGAAATACAAGATAAGCATGATGCTTTAAATTTCAGAAAATGAATTATTAATCACAGATGATTAACATAAAAAATTAAACGTGTCCGGAAGAATACTACTTAACTCCTAGTTTTCTTTATTTTCTTGTAGTTTTTGCTGTAAATAATTTCACAGGCATTGAGCCAATCTTCCCCTTGCAACACATGAAGTAAAGTGGGTACACATCATGAAGTGTACCCCAAAGTAAATAAAAAAGTACAAAAATAAATGGCACTTTTTTACAGATAACCCCACTTGTAAGTGACTAAATTCAATTCATTATGTGTAAAAATAATATTACTTGCAAACACAATAAAAAAGAACAAATGTATGTCTACACATTACAACCATCAATAAAATTAAAGCCTATATTTTGTTAAGGTTTCTAACCTCTATGTTGTGTTGTTATTTGACCTGGCTCACAGGCTAAGTGGTAATATGAGAACATATTTGGGACTGGTAGTTGCTACATGCTTCAAGAAGTCATCATTTTCATACTGCAAGCTTATATTTTCCATAAGATAATAGTAACAGTTTAATGACATATAACACACAGTGAATGCAAAACAGACTGCAATATGCTTCAGAAAGCAAGAAGTGCAAATACCAATCCCACCTGCTCAATAGCCAGGAGAAAAGATGTATGTATAGTAGTCGTGGACTAGACTGTTACAACTATCCTCAGGTTCTCAGGTGCCCACTGCACAATGTCAGGAGAAATACAAAGAATTCACACACTGTGTCTATTTTATGCAAACAAATTTGTTCCCATGTACCTACAAAAAAACAGCTTAAGTATCAGCCAGAACAGCCTCTGTGCACAAATTTCTCATTTAAACTGATCTTACAGGCTACATGTAGACTATGTAGTTTACTATAAGTGAATCTTGATAGTACAAATACCATTACAGTTAAGAAAGGGGTGTTACGCAAATCTTATGTTAATTAATTTGATTAATGTTAGTTTAAAAAAAACATGTACATACATAGTACTTTTTCAGACTTAATAAACCCCAAGGACTAGTTCATCCTTTTCATTGAAGGTTATCAATTTCTGGTTGCCTCTTCAATGGTAAACAACACTGCCATTATTTCTTGAGGGCTACTGAGACTTCATTAAGTTCAGACCAAAAACATACACCCTATGTTAAAGCTTTAATTTACAGACAACAACGGGCACACAAATTAACAAACCTCAATTATCTTCTGGGGGTATGTGAAGGCAGGGGCCTTCACAGACTGCTCGTTCACCAGTCTCCTTTCATTAATTTACCATCTACTTGCTTATTAATTTGTCTGTCAGCTTGTATTATACCTTCCTCTATATTCAGTAATATGTCATTTCACAGAATGGTTCTGTGACATGCAGTACTAGCATATCCTCATGATAAACATATCAAATAAAAACAGCATTCCATAATCAGGAAACAGGATTATTTGTAGAAGCAAAGAGCAAAAACAAGACAGCACTGCCCAAGCCATGTTTTGTTTGACCTATCCCATAATAGTTTTTGGTCATTTGCAGTTGCAAAGACTGTACATTCTGCACTGCTCTGTTCAATGATCTTCATGTAACCAGATTTCTGGTTACTTGTATCATGTCTTTACATGGGTTTAATCTAGAATAGTAAACTACACAGTTCAGATCTGCATCAAAAGAACAGTTTAAGTGAAACGCCTTCCTATGTTTTGCTACACGACTGACATAAAACCCAATCTGAGGTAAACTTTGTTCATCTGATGGTTATATGTAGTGACGAAGGATTACAGCTGAACAGTGTGCAGTTTTTTGTGTTCATACTCTCTCATACAGGCTTTGAGCAAAAATCCTACTTATGTAAATATTTAAGTACCATTTCATGAATAAATTGGATAAATGTCCTGCATATTATATATGAAATAAATACTACTGATAATCCTTTAATTTTCATATCGAATAGGGTGGTGTTATATTCTATGGCACACAAACGTTTTCCTGTGCAAGAGTTCAAATATAATGTATGTTAGAAGGGGTTATCATTCATTCCATCATTTCTTTCCATGAATTCACATTTTACTTCATATTTATGTCCATTAAATACATTTTAAGGAAGCTGATAAAATATAACTCTTTAGAAAATATGATTAAAACATACAGCATATGAATACTCAACATTAATACTGAAACAGCCAACAATACAACTAGATTTCACAGAAAGAAACAAGATTCCTTGAACATTATTACTAAATTAAATGTACAATTTGTGTTTGTACTATATTAAAACAGATTTCACACAACATTCAATGAAATAAGGTGAAACATACAATTATAAAATTTTTAAAAATGGGAATAACTGCTAGTGTCATAACTGTAGTTCACCCCAAGAATTCATCGGTGGATGTAATTGTGGCTTCAATCAACAATCCAAAGTCTAGTTCAGCTAAACTTGCTGTAAGTGAAATAATTACACATAATTTAAATACATGAATAAAATGGAAATTAATATTTCATAAGTTAATTGATGATATTTCCATACCTTTTGCTGTAAGTAAATCAAGAAATGTATCAAGAGGAGACAGTCTATCAGCAGAAGGAAATGCTGCAAGGCCTGAAACATAATTGAAGCATAACAGCCAGTTTTTAGTCTAAATGTTCTTCCTGAAGGAAGCAGAGTTATAAAGTTTTACATAGTCTTTTAAGAATATATCAAGAAACCTGTTGAAAAACTGACATGTAATATAAAATGCTGGAACCATCACATGTAGTCACAAGCTAAAATTTACAATTATGCTATGTGGTTTCTATTTTAGTCTGCACATTTACATCAAATATTTACATTAATTTGTTCACAGTTAAATCTGAAATATTACCTCTAGTGCTGACATGTGCAGTTTTTGCTTTGTGTGCTGGATGTCCTCTTCCCTGAGTACCCTCTACTCCTGATAAGATATTCAGTGCATGCTCCCGAGCTCGGATCATCAGACTTACTGGATGTGACCACTGATTGAGTAAACGTTTGGCTCGGGATCTTGGCAGAAACAAAAGTAATCGAAGTTTCTTTTTGACACCCTCCTGTGTGTCTTCTGTATCTGTAGAAGTCCATTCCAAGTGACTTACATTGTCAGATAAAAGGAACATGATCATACATACCAACACAAGAATCCACAGCAGTTCAGATACTAAAAACAAAATAAATTCATATACCAGATGAGACTTCTACAGATATCAATCTGCATATTTACATTATTACATCAAATATCAGGAGGGTTTGATTTATCATAACATTCTCTTTCTTTTTGTGTTTGTCAGAATTTTTTTTTAAACTGACAGCATATTACCTGCCATGATTATCTTCATTACATCAACCTGCAATTCAAATACATTCCGTTGGAGATACTGCAAGAACATGGAGAAAGACAGCGTTCGATAACCCAGATATGTGAAGAATGATGTAAATCCTTGAGGCAAGGGAAATGCCATTAAGCCAACAGCGAAGTAATAACGTTCCAGGAGAGAGAACAGAACATAACGTCTTTCTTCATCTAGTTGATCTCTAACATGAAAACATAAGTGCATATATATTAATGTATACGAATCAGAATATTATATTGAACATGGAATTACAGAGATTTGTAATCAAACTCACACGAGTGCAAATCCTCGCTCTTGTTCCTGGTGGGGATCAACAGCAGCACATTGACACAGCAGCTGACATAAGTGCTTGGACATCTCCAACTGAGCTGCTACATAGCGAGTGGCCACTACATGCACATGCATTGGTGACTGCTTACTGCTGTTCTTTAGAAGATGCATGCTTAACTCACGCAGGTTCTGAAAAAACAACATACTTTACTCTAATACAAGGAAAGTGTGTACAGTTCATATTCTAAATTATTTTGAGTTTAAAATTTGATTTCATTACAGTTAAGCCATAAACATGAAAGAGCTTCTCTGTGAGAAAATGTAAGAATGTGAAATCTTACTTGTCCTCATCATTATGAACTTTCTATTCCTATGCATCATAAGATTGTATTGCTACTGGCATCATTATTTTAGTTGTACAAAGTATCACTATCCCTTTGATTAGTAACAGAATGCCATTTGTGGAATGGTTTGTTCTCATCCTTGGACCTATTTAACATGCCTGCAATGTTCAGTCTTTCTGCAATAACTCATAATTTTCTGAATTTCTCTAGTCATTATAATACAATCACATCTGGTTAGTTTCACATGTTAGTACACTTTTTCAGGATTAGTGGATAAAAATCAAGCATAAGTTTGAAATCTCATAACATACTTCATCCACAGTGAAGAAACAGAATTACTGTATTGGTAATATTATTTTTTTATTTTTATGTTTGTGAACCTTTCTTTTTACAGGTAAGATGGAGTGAGACTATGTCTGTGGATTTGTGGCCACTAATACTGACAGAGGTAAACTGAAGGATTTGGAGAAAAACCTGTCCCAGTGCCACCACAGATCCCATATAGACTTCTCTGCAAGCAAACCCAGGCCTACATGGTAAGAATCTGGTAACTTAATGTCTGTATTATAGCATGGTCCTGTAAACCCTTACTCTTACTACCTGTTTGTCCTGCTCCACACACCATATTTAACTTACCACAGAAATTACATGCTCCTGTTTGCTGGCTGTACAGCTTTCAACCTCATAAAATGGCAACACATCCATTCCTGAAACTTTCCGTGTTCCTGCAATCGCAGCCAGATCAGCCAGTGTACCTGAGCCTACCAAACTTGTTCCTGGTGAAAGAGGTGTGCTGGAGCGTGATAATGCCTCTGGCTGTAACAACCAAGCTATGTTACTTCCCTGCACTTTACAGTCCTTTCTAGGATCAGCTTTCTTGTGTTTATAGTTCTTTAGACCAAGATAATAAAGTATCACAAATCATGGGAGAAGTTAGAACTCTGTGTTTCAAGATTATGGGCACTATGTGAGACAAGTAATTTACATTTTGCAGTGATGTTTGCTATGAACAACACCAAGACTCTTTGAGTAAAAGGGTATGAATAATTCTTCCATATATCAGCAGTAATGCTTTGAAACATACTGTGATTAGATATGTACCAGAAGCTCACATTTAAGTAAATATTGGGAAGATATATATATAAGTGGTTTTCACTAATGAAATATATGGGATTATCTGCCGGTGCTTACAAACCTGAATCAAACACATATTATAATATGTGTTTACAATCAAAATATCTGTAAATCATCATTTAATTCAGTTTTTGTAAATATTTTCCAACAAAATATAATTAATATAACAACTTTAGCTTTAATATTAAAAACAAAATGATACAAAGTAGTCATATTACTAGGTAAACAAACCAAAGAAATAAACACAGGCAAATTTAAGTTCATAGCAATACCATAAAAACAATGTGGTCAGCGTATCTTATTAACACAGTACCTGGTAACATACGAGAGAGACCATGAGTTTGTCAGCCACTAAACTGGGTCTGAATCTTGGTCTCTGCTCCTTGCCTGTCCTCCTCGTCAGCTGATCCCAAAGCCTAGTCCACATATCTACACGATATGGAACCAACCTCTGCTGTGGTGACAACAACATCATCTCAGTATTCCATAATGTTTCTTGATTAAGGGACATACTCTGGCGATTCACCTAGTGGGCACATATTTGGTGGAGAACATTATGAGCAACTGAACTTTTTTAAGTCAGTAATTAAGATGCCTACCAACTGATTGCTAAGAATGAAAATTACATGTCTAAGAGAAACAGACAAGAATACCAATGAGAATTGACAAAGGGAAATAAAATGATATATTGGTTTTTGTATTTCTATATTCCTTATATACATAACTGTTTACAGTTTTATATATTTTTTAAATAAATGTGTACAGGAAGAAAATCAGAAATAAATATAATATAAAGATGGCAGACTAACTTTGACTTCCAACTCAAATACATGAGTGATGGTACTTAGTGGCAGCAGGGCAACAAGTGACATTGCATCAGCTGGGAGATTTCTCTGTGCTGCAGCAAAGGCTCCAGCAATAATCACTTCCTGTAGCAACTGTGGAACACTCAGTTTGACAGGGTGCTCTGCTACAAACATCAGCAACTGGAATGTGTAGACAAACTGGGCCATAAATCAGGCACATTAATATTAATTTCTTATGTCTTTTAACAATGCTGTTTCTGCAGAAATTGTAGAGCATTGATGATTTCTAAAATGTGATTTAGGAAAGAAATGGAAACAAATATTTGCACCTTATTTCAAGATACTATCCCAGCATTTGTCTGCAATACATAAGAAATATAACCAAAAACTTCAATCAAGATAACTGATCTAGTAAAGATGCAAAAAGACAATAAATATGAAGCAAGATTGATAAAACTGTATGCTCAATGGTTTGAAAGTCTTGAAAGATTAGAACAGAATAAAGAAGAAATGTAATGTAGTCAATGTACATGGTATTAAATCATGAAAGATGAAAAATATAATGTGACAAATTATCTTAAGTTGTGTACTACCATAATGCCACAATAATTTAAATGAGAGTTCACAGTGGCTTCTCTACTTCTAGGAGCATTACAAGCAATGCACCTGTTGAAGCATTTGTCAAATTTTATGTGGGCACATCTTTGACATCTTAATATTCTGACTGATTTAATTGTTGCTTATTTAATTATACTGTGTCGACTAAAAGGATATAGTTTCAAATACGATATAACAGTAATCATGAATACTGAATAGGGTGGGGTTGATATGGAATGAAGGAGTTTAATAAAGTCTGTTTCAAGGTTATGTCCTATTCACTTCAAGAAACTGAACAGAACAATGTAAAGCCTGTGTCAAGATAGCTCATTCCCAAAAAAGGGTATGAAAGATGTGTCTCTTTAGTACAGATTACACCTAAAACTTGATGTTCCCATGGTAATAAAGATATCAATCACAATCTTCTCTGTTGTGATGTCATGTGGTCTTGTAGGTGAACGTCAATGTTATAGAGAAACATATCGCATCCATCTTCAGCATGAAGTGAGCTAAGGATGAAGGCAACACATTCCTCCAAATTGTTGGTAACAATCTACCAGTTCATGTGACATCACAACCCAGAAGATAGTGATTAACAGGTCACATAATGGCAAGTAAAGGGTCAGAAATTCTCAACACAAGTGTTAGCATGGTTGTTATGAAACACAGGTGTGTCATGATATAATATTGCTAGTGCAGCTGTAAGTGTTCTGTTGCAAACAAGAAGGGGAGGAACTAAAAATATAGGGGATTTATGAGTATCAAAAAAGTATGAGAAGGAATGATGCATTTGGTTAGAAATAAAACTGGTTGCAGGTACATACCTTAGACACTTCAGGGCACAAAATTTCACAATGATTAAAGGTTACAGTATGTACTTCATCCATAAAAATAATATGGGATTGAAATACAACCAATTATGCACTTCATTAAATTTGACTTCAATAATATTGTGGATGAAGTGATGAGCCACTAAGAAATGTATTTTATTGAGAGTAAAGAGTAGGCAAATTTGGAAATTATGTAGCAAGTTAGCGTTTTGAAATGTGATATATTCAGGCTGGGCTTCCACTAAAATTATACATAACAGTATAATTTAAAAGATTTTACCTACTTTTCACTAGTTTTAATTATAACAATTTAATCCTTAAGCATAAATTTTCAATATAAATATCAGTGGAATGTAATGCTTCTCACCAAATTACATGAAAACAACACATATCATTTTCTCTTGTCTTTTATAGAAATTTGTTAGGTATTCATGATACAATTAAATACTGACCTAACACTGGTAAAACTTATGGTTCAATACCGCCAGTAAAAAACCTGTCAATATACACTGTCCTGATCAAATTCCATGCACCTCCCATCTTCACAACCTATTTTCCTATGAATTAACTACTGACATGACACCGCCCCAAAGAGAGAGAGAGAGGATGGCCATCATTATATTACCTCTGTTACAGTTTCCAAATCTCCTTGGTGAACTAAGAAATAGTGTAGTATTGCAAGCTGGTTTTCTAAAGAGTGATCACATTTAAAAGTTTCTACAAGGTGTCCAGTAGTCACTGTGAGTGGTATCAAGTCCAAAGTTGGTAGGTCTACTGTAACAGTGTTGCCATACTGTAGCAGTGGCACAAGATGTGAAGTATATGATGGAATGCCTGGCAAAGTGCAGCTCATAAGTATATGGCAGCATGGTTCATGAGCCAGTCCAATATCAAGAAGGTGTGTAAACAGGCCTGGTGCATATACTATCATATGCTGATCTGTGAAGAAGAGAGTTTGTATATATTTAACAAAGAACAAGAAAGGTTAAAATCCAAAACCAGAATATTAGTGAAGGTTTGCAAGTTGAATTGGTTCAAGAAGTGTTAGTGAATTATGGATATAGTGGTATGGACATAGACAATAGTACCATTTCTTTACAAGTGCCAGAAATGAATATGTCAAATAAATGACCTACGAGAAGACTAAGGACCAGATGGAAAAACCAAGTGAGGGAATATACATAAAATAGATTATTGAGAGTGGACATAGTTGCAGGAATTATGGGGGACAGAGAGGTCCTTGTTATAAGGAAATTTATTCTGGTGGAAATATTAATTGATAATGGTAATATCCCATGCCTGTGCCTATGACTTGCCTAATTTATGGAAGTTAAAATGGAGTTCTGCATTAGTGAGCACAAGGTAAACAAAATTTGGAAACAGTGTATGAAGTCTATATGAATCCACTCTGCAACCATTAATTAATCCACTAAGATACTTGCATTCCCCATATAACACTTCTCTATTTAACCCAATCATTACTGGTCTAGATAAGAGAGTGTTTAATGCTGCATACTGGACAATTGCTTAGAATAATGAGGCATAAAACTTTTGCAGTAATATTACAATGAAATTTTCTAGTTTATAACTTTATTGTATAGTATCACTCTTCAACACAAAAATTACATAAATGAGAAAGTTTTGTTCTGTATGCCTTTTACAAGAAGCCATCTTTGTTACTAGAACAGCTTGCATTTTTATTCTGAAAAATTCTATTAGCTATAATTCTATTATTATTGATTACATGAGTCAGAAGTAGTTATGACTATTTATTATATATGGCACAAGCTTCCAACATTCTGTATATAAAAGTCTGAAATGTCACAGTATGCTGAAAGGTCACAGGTTAACAAAGTTAATGATGTCTCAGCATGTTTAGTTATGTACAGAGTGATAATGCTTGGATGTACTGTGTTAATACACTGTGTGTAAGCAAATGGTAAACATATGATGTCTGGTTTAGCAGATATGTATTCCACTGGAGAGATTTACTTGCTAGTGTGATGAACATGTGACTGACTTTATAAATCTTTATTTACCTCCATACAATGCAAAGGTTGGCTTCATTGCTCTAGCCTGTGACCATAGAATTCCAGGTACAACACAGTGAATTACACAGCCATGATGAAGCAGTGTCACAGAATATGCAAAATGAACTGTAGTGGACAATTCTTCCAAATTCCGTGCCTCAGTCATTGGTGGCTTCACAGGCTGAAATAGTGTATTATGAAGCAAAATTAATTAATTCACCTTTGTGTCTAATTAATGGTTGTGAATTTCTTTTATTTAATTCAATTTTTTATTATTTACACTAAGAACTATAACATTACTTTAATATATTCTTCAAAAATAATTTTTAATGCAATTTTTGAAGAAAGGTGACTTTATTCAGTACCCACAGTTTTCTATATAAAACCTGTGTAAAAGCATGTGTGAATTACAACAGTAAATATGAGGTAAGTCAAAAGCAAAGCCAATTTAAACATAGTTCAAAACAGTTTATTCCAAAAGCATGAACTTCAAACATAATCCTTACTTCTCACAAGTATTTCTTTCAGTCACTGACAAGCTAATTCAACAATATATTATCCTGCCACAGGATAACTTCTATCTTTTGAGAACCATGTATTAACTCTGAAGCCGCTAAAGCCACTTCCTTACAGCTATTACATAAACAAACCACCATACAGTATTCAGTGTGCACCACTTAGGAAAGTAATCTGTGCTTACAATTGACAATGAAAACTGAAAATAAGACATGTTTTCAGAACTGTCAGTACAGTCATGGCAGCTGCTGTGCTTAATGCTGAACACAAAAACATTCCTATCTTGTGTTAACTGGCTGGCTATGGACTGGATGCATATTTTGATTACTATCAGAGGTATTATTACTTTTCCCTTTACTAAAATATCCACAGTGGCTCTAGTACAGAATGAATCAGCCTTACATCCTCTTCTCCATGAGGAAGAGCATCAAAAGTGTAATCATTCATTTCTAGAGCTGAGATTAAGAAACATTCATGTATTTTGTACACCTACATGGTGTGCTGCTAGTAATCACAGATATGACCACTTTTTAGCTTCTCAACAAATAACAGAAAGTGATAAAAAGTCTTTACATTAAGCAGTCGTGTCTTCACATCATCCCCATTTAAAATTAATTTATAAAGCTGTTCTTTCAATGAAATGTATTTTGAGGTATTAAAGCTTTCTTCCTGATGGAATTCATAATTACAGTGTGAGTGGATATTCACTTTACCTGGTACAAGTAATGATGGCAGATGCAGACAAGACCTTTGGGATCACACACCACCTGAAGATCAAGTGAGCAATCATGTACTCGAAGAGGAATAGGGTCATCCTCATATCCACCACATGGCAGTGATTTTTTTGAAAGCTGTGGTAGATTTAATGGTATATTGAGCTGAAAGTAAGTAGGCAAAAAAAATAAGAAGATCAATACTGGAACAGTGACTCCTGCCTTTAAATTATGAAATAATGCAATACCCTTATAAAAAGAGAAAAATAACATGAATTATTTTTATAAACTTTCAATGTATTGTACCAAAACACACTTTTAGAATATATTTCTATTCTGTCACTTTCCTCTCTAGAGGTGAGAATAGTCTATCCTTCATAAAAATGCCTACATAACGCGGAAAGAGATCCAAAAATTCAACAATGAATATGAAGAAATCTCACTTTGTAATGTAAAAATATGATGATAAATAGGCCTACCTATATAAGACATGTATGCTTCAAAATTAATTAGATTTATATTTTAATTAATTACAATACTATGATTTGGCAAATAGGCCTATCAATATAAGAAACATATCTAATATAATTCTCTTGGGCAACAAGCCGCATCAGTTCCGAACACAAGCCCAATGTTTCAGAGACCTTCTCTGTCTCCATCGTGGGGGAAATGATGTGATGGTTGACTGCTATAAGATATTTCTACACAATTAATGCCTAATGACTGTTGGCAAATGGGGGATAGTGACTAAATAATATCAAAAGAATTTGCTGCTATCCCCCGATTTGCTAATGGTTGTATGGGGAGGAAGCATCAACTATGTACATAAACATATAGCAGTCAATCATCACATCATTCCCCTGATGATTAAGGTAGAGAAGTTCTCTAAAATGTTGGGCTTCTGTCCATAACTGATGTTGCTTGTTGCCTTAGAGGAATTTATTAAAGTTCAGTCATCATGAGAGCATCAAGTCATATATAAGAAACACACGGTTGTTTCACAGTTAGATTCATGTTTTAATATCAGGGTGAATGCAAAGGGTTAATACCTCACAACATGAGAGCAATGTTGAACATTAAAACATTTTCGACTTTCCTGCTCCTAAACATAGTTTACTTTAATGTACATTCAAATTTATTATCAAAAACATATTCTATGATCCATAAATGTATTATATAAAGCAAAACTATATCTGTGTCCATAGTTACTTGTGTCATACCACAGTCTCATGCGGCATATCATCGTGAAACTGAAGGCAAGATAAAGTTGGATTCAGTTCTTCTTCTCTCCCTTCCTCTGGTTCTTCACCCTCAACAATAAGCTGAGGTTTACGGTAATGAATATAATACAGAGACTGATTTATGGAATCCCACTGTGCCCATGAAAATGATCGAACCATTGACTCAGTGTTCAAGCAACCAAATAAATCCTGAAATAAAATCATTAATATGACAGTTTGCCATTTGGCTAACTGTGGATTATTTTCTTAGTAAGAGCAAAATATTTTATTTATAACAAACAAAAACCAATAAGCATTGTTAACTTCAAAGAATATAATATAACAACAATTTATTGCAGACAAAAGTCACAGTATCCAGTTTCACCCATCTCATATTACACTACATCACAGAATGTAGATTTAATTAAATTCTTACAAATCAAGTATTTTCAGCTTCTATTATATTAGTGTGTGCAAACAGATAAAATAAGGAGGGGGAATATATAAATATAAAATTTATGCGAGATTTGAGGTTCCTACAGCAGTGATGTGCATGGGTTCTGATGCCCTAATGATGGAGAGAGCATGTTTCTCCAAAATGTTTGTATCTACCTACAATCCCACACAGCATCACAACTCGGAACACCAACAATGACAATACATAATTTGAAAGTGATAAAAAAAATTTATTTGTTTATAAACTGAATTTTGTTGTTATGCCCATTTTTGAGCTATAAAAAACTATAAAAATATACCAGTGAAAATAAAAGTTTAATGACTCATGAAGCAAGTTCTCTAATCATAATCCTGGCTTTTCTTCTAACAGAGTTTCAATTTTGTTACTGGAATATTGGGTGTTGGAGTCCTTAATGTCCCCTTTAAATGTTTTGTATTCTAAATAAGTTGTCAAAACTTTCTTGTTCAAGTTAGGTAGTTTTAGAACCATTTAAACTTCACCAAATCATTCAAACAATAAGAGTTTGCACAAACCTGAATACAATATATATATACAGGTAGCCCTCGACTTATGCTGGGGATGCGTTCCTGGATGAACCGGCGCAAACGGAATCAGTGTAAATTGAAACCGTTTTATAATGTAGATCAATGCGTTTCCAGCACCCAAACATTGACGAGTAATATAATAGCATTACATTTAAAGCTCTGAAATAACGGAAATAAAATAAAGGGAATTTAAAAAATATATTTTATATACCTACAATCGGCGATTCGTTGGTCCCCGTGATTGACTGCAATTCTTTCATGTGATTGATGTGTACAGTCATCTCTGCTGTTATGGGATAGCTGCATTCATGTAAGACGCTGACCCATAGAAAATCGCGTAGTAAAAATATCCCCTCCGTAGAGATTAAATTAGTCCTTTGGAAGTTTAAAGCACCAGGAATGAAATTGCATAAGAGCAAACTCGCATATGCAAAAGTTTTTATTTCACAAACAGCTTTTACCGATCCATCAAATTCACGTTAACGAAACATATGTAATTGCAGAGATGACTGTATTTATAATTTTTATTCAAAATCAGCGATGTAAGAATTACGATTTAGTATAAGATACATTGTAAAACGTTATAAATAAGTATTTTTTTCACTTTTTGGCTTGCTGGTTTCAAAATCGGCTTTATTCTGAATCGGCGCAAATCGAGGGCTACCTGTATATCACAAATTCTTGAAGGAAGAGTGAATGAAAGGATCTGTATCATTTTGTTTATTATGCAATAAATATAATTCTTAGTACAATTTGTGCTAAAAATTCTGTTCTTTACCATTGTAATCAGTATAACACTGAGTACTAAAGGTTGAATTAAAACAAGACTAAACATACCATCTCATAACTTCCATCCTCTTTCAGATGAACCTGATTCAGTGAGATAGCTGAAAGTAAAACATAAAGATGAAAATGTATGTATACTGCAGGAACATTGCTATAACTTCAGAGAGAGTTGCTGTTAACATGAAAGTTAGGAAATGCAGTGAGATTGGGTTGACTTACATAAGTGAAGAAGTGCAGGAGCAAGACCCAGCTAGTGACTAAGCTGTAAATCACTGCTGATAAAGGCAGTTAGTTTTAGCTATGCTTCTTATAGGCAAAAGAATCTTACTAACCAATTATATTTCTAAGTGTATCATTCCAATAACTTATCAATCAATAATAATACTGCTTGATACTCAGTTTCAAAGTCATGCTACTAGAAGTCACCTGAATGTAGCATTTCTTACATCCCCTCATGTCTGCAATACCAAAACGATTGCTGTATAAAATTATAAAGTGGAAAAAGTTGTTGGTAATCAATACAGTATATTTAATGTAACTTTTGTTGGGTAATTTCCATTACAAATTAAAAACAGCAACATACCAGTAAATCCCCTTCTTTATCTTGCCTTTAAAATTTGTGACCTATTTTAGGTTTATCTACACATTTTGTGTGCCAATGAATATCAACAAAATGAAATTATTAAAGTTCCTGCAGTTAATCAGAAATGAGAAGTCAATAATATTATCTTACATTCTTGATGTACAAATAAGAGGAACTTTTCAGTGGCAACATGTTCTTTCTTTCTATACAAGAACTGAATCATAATCTGCTGGGATCTCACAAGTCCAAAATCTTTTGGTTTCCTCTGTTCCTCTGGCAATCTTATATCCAATGAGAAAACTTTATACACATCCAAGGAAAATACATCTGACATTCCTTTGTCTGTTTTTTCATTTGGAGATGGGCAGACTTTCTCTTTTGTTACAAAACCTATGAATAGAACAGATATCATATAAGACTTGAAGCTTTTGTGGTGACTAAATGCAATAAAATCATCTTCTTGGGTGACAAGCCATGCCACAACATTCCCTGATGATGGAGACAGAGTGTGTCTTGAAAAGTTGGACTATAATTCCATTTAGACATGGCTTGTCGCCCAAGAAGATTGTATTCCATTTAGAACAGTTATAACTTTCTTTTCAACAATTAACTTAATATAAAATTTATTTGAAGAATGCCGTCTTCTGGGTTATTGCACCGTGTAGTCTGGAAGATTTCCACCAACGCAATGTCATACTGCCTCTGTCATCACCCTGATGACGGAGGCAGTATGACCTCTGAAAAGTTGGTGGAAATCTACCAGACTACACGGCGCAATAACCCAGGAGACGGCAATCTTCAGACTCACCGCTGTGAAAACCTCAAATCCTACATACAATTGAATTGGTTAGATGGAAAATGAAACAGGTCCATACATACATATACAGGATCTACAATTTATGAGGTTGCGGTTGTGCTTGCATTGCGTGGTCGGCTGGAGCTCTGTTGATGTGGGCGGGAGTTGTGCGCGTTCTTCCGGTGGGTGACCGGCGAATCAGTTTCAGTACCGCTAGTAACAGCGAGCTACGAATATTTCTCGTCACTAATGCATGTTATTACATTAATTGTTCTTAACCTTAAATCATAAAAGATGTTCAAAGTGACTTCCTTGTGCTTGCAGGCAAGCTTCACATCTCGTTAACATGTTTCAAAATACTCGACGAAGCTCTTCTTGGGAAATTGCCCAAATCAATTGTCGAATATAGACAGAGTATGTGAAGTGTATGTCTCAAATACATTTTGTACCATGCTGAATTGTACTTTATTAATTGAATACCTCAATATAATCCAGGTATGATAATGATTAAAATTAATTATATTTACAAATTCTGAAAGAAACCTTGCAATTTTGGAACACTTCTTCCACAACTTCCATATGACAGAAGTGACTTTTTATGGAACCAAACCCACCATTTCTACATCAATAATCTGTTCTGTCTCCACTTTTTCTACAGACAACTTGCTGGTATTTGAAGTCTTGTCAATAAGCGTGAATTTGTGCTTCAAGACAGCATTCATAAATTGAAAATATAGAGGTAATAACAGAGTAAACATGTCACACTACAAATACATTTATGAACAGGTTGAGTTTTTCTAGTCTGCAAAATTAGTAATCTGATAACTGCAGCTACTGGAATTACCCACTTGGGATGTTGTACAGAATAATATATTTTAGAAAACAACAAAAGTCTATGAAATGAGTATGAGGAAGACAATGGATAACATATGAGGGTGGATTCTATTTTAAAGTAAATATTTGGCATATGAACCCTCATTAAGCTGAGGAAGGTCGGTTCATCTTGCGTTATGTCAGATGGATGTAATTAGTTGTAGCCAATATGAAGTTTTATATCACAAATGTGATGAAATTATTAGGCAAATTTCTGCAAATTTCCAATAAATTTGGAGTTATCTTGGAGACAGAATGAAACAAAGTTTCTACTGCAAGTAATTTTAATGCATAAACTTACCTAGTAAAGTGTGACTATGGTTTATAGAAGCTTGGATGGTGTTAACATATTTGTTAAATGTACATAATACCTGAAATTAGGGCAAAATTGTGGTTAATTGAAATGAAAACATGAACACTAATTAATTAAAGTAATATGTACAATTGAAGTACAAGGGTTTGAAACATTAATGGCTGGTTATGTAAAGAAAGTTAGAGTCAAAGGATAAATATTTATAACATATAAACTACAAATTACAATGAAGGGATGTTGGATAAGCACATGCAAAATCATGCAATGGTTCTATCATACAGGTTCCTATTACACTATTACCTGAAACTAATAAGTGATTGCTACATCACTATAAGAAGACATAAAATAGTAACATGAACATAATGAAAGTGCCTCAGTTCTGTTGGGTATGGGATAATGGTGAAATATAAAGCAGTACATAATAAACTATTATCTTCATAAGAAACCACCAGACTAGTCACACTTTTGTGAGTACACTTTCTGTTTTCCTTTTCACTTGTGTATTTCATGTTTCTGAACATTACTTTAATAAATGTTCAAGTAAAACAGACATGGTTCTTGTGTTTGAGCCATGTTACTTGTTTAACCATACCTGACGTTTTGGTAAACATTGGATGTAACTGTACCCATTCAGTTCTTCTACTTTAAATATTCAGAGAAATACCTGATAAGGTGCTAAAAAGAACACAAAATGAGAAGCACTTATTACAGCAAGGGAACTTGACAGTACCAGGTGCTTTTCAGTCACACCAAAACCTCTCTTGAAATTAAAATGATCAGATACAAGTATCTAGGCCACCTGATTAATATATACAGTAATTAACTAACAGCATGATAACAGAGCATGAAGATTCAACACTGCTAATACCACAGCCACAATTGGATATGGTCCTGGGATAGTTATCTCATAACATTTTTGGTCTTCCAATAAGTTTCCCCACCAAAAGTCAGTACGAATTCCTTCTCTACCTCGTCATAGCCACAGGTTTGGTATTGGACACATCTGTTTTAAAATTTGTATGATATATATTTTCAGTGCATCTTTTCTCATAATTTAAAATATTGTTAGAAAATTTAAACAATAGTCCAGTTTAAGTTTAGTAGAAAAAAAACATGATTGATTCGATGAAAAACTTTGTTTACACTTAAATACCTTCAGGATATTGTTCTTTTGATGATAAAGTCCAATAGAGCTTTGCAGTTTTGACACACCTTCATCAACATCAAATTCTGTCAACCAACTGACCAAGAGGCTTCCGTCTTGTTCTTGTCCAAGTAGTTTCCATTCCTTCCCTTCACCTGAAAATTGCCATAAAGCAGTGGATCTCAGTGCTTAGATGAAAATACACCACATCCACAGACACAGCAGGTACCTTTTTCAATAATGTTTTTATATGATCTCACATACTCATAACTAGGAACATCATACTTAGATACTCTGAAAAAAATTTGACTTCATTTTCCCAAACAATATAAGTGCAGTTTCAGTTTTACATTCATTTAATGTTTAAAAACAGAAGTCAGTCTGCTTAAACTTTTTCAAATCTTGTGAGAAAGAATATTTTATTTCTTGTAACCTTCTCTATGAACCCTTATTTATAAGAGTTTTCAAACAAGCAATAAATGTTGTTATTCCCAATACAATCAACCATTAATAAATAGAACAAATATAGAAGATTTCTGTCTTCTGGGTTGTTGCACTGTGTAGTCTGGTCGATGTTAATGAATATTCATCGCCCTGATGACGGAGGCAGTATGACCTCTGAAACGTTGGTTAACATCGACCAGACTACACAGCTCAACAACCCAGAAGGCAGAAATCTTCATACTCACCACTGTGAAAACTTAAAATCTTACAGAACAAATATACATTTTAGCAATGTCCTCCCCTCTCAGTACTACAACTGATCCAATTACATTACTAAAAAGCTCAGACAGTGTATTCCATGAAGATGGCTGTCTTCTGGATTGTTGCGCCATGTAGTCTGGTAGAAATTTACCGACGTTTCAGAGTTCCATGCTGCCGCCATCATCAGAGCAATGAGTAATCCTACACAGTGTATTCCATACCATAATACACATAGTATCCTCATGCATTCTTTGCAATGTGCCTTGCTTGATAGTTCATACTTGGCCACCACATTGCAGCACCTCATAACTTTCTTTATCCATCATTTTGTGATCACATAATGTAGCATATTCAAAGGTATGATTTTCAGGTCATGCAGAACAGCACAAATCCATCCAATGGTTTTCGATTTGAATCAACTGGACTTCATGGAAAGAAGGCATAACTGAAACCATGTCCATTTGCACAGGCCACACAGGTCATGTAGCTATATTATCTTTACATGTTTTATAGAGTTTAAATAATGAGATTCATATGCTATTACATCACCCCCTTATCAAACCCTTTACTGAAACACAATGACATGAGAAAACAATGTCTTGCTGCAGTAACAATTTTCTTTGAAACTACAGAAATACAATATTTTAATAACTAAATGAGATATTTTGTTCTGAGGATGACTTTCTTCTGATATGTAGCATCATGAAGACAGATATCTTCATACTCATTACCATGAGAATGTGATATGTCACCAATTTTTTTATCTTTTTTTGTGGAAAATTCTTTCCTGCACATAATACTTTGCATGATAAAGTGTTTCACTTAAAGAGAGATACAATTGATTTTAAACAATCTAAAAAATAAAATAAAGTCATATTATCAGATATACCAGTCTGAGAAATCTAACTACATTCAATGGCACAACTAGTTCCCTAAAGACAGTTTCCTTTATGTCTTATTAATTTTCACAGTTTATTTTGAACACACTGAAATTATGTAATTCTTGTAATCTTGCTGTCTGTTATATTATGTGCATTGTACATGGATAATTTATGTCTTCAGTGTCTGAATTGTTTTGTATGGACCTTCACCACCAGTAAAATCAGGTCATAAAATGAGCACAGAAATGGAAATAAAAGGTTTAAAACAAGTGCTAAAATTATATTAAGAATCTGTTAAACTTGGCATGTTTGTGAGACAAGAAATAGCATTCTATTAAAACAGCAGAGGTTCTCACCCTTTTTTGCTGGCATACCACTAATTTAATATATTAAAATACCAGTAACCAAATGCTTTCAAGGAAAACTTATTTATGTTAATATTATCTTTTGATTTTCTTACTTAGTTTGCGTACCACTAGTCATACACGCATCATAGGTTGAGAAACGCTGATCTAGAGAGTTTGCCACAATATCCTCTTCTGCTGATTATATAGAAGGGATTCCCCTAACTAAAATAAGCATTTGCTTTATTCACCAATAGGAGGCCTTTTAGGAACAAACAGGATTTTTCATATTGGTATTTTTGAGATTTTAAATTGTTGACTTTTTATCTTACAATTTATGTTTGCCTAAATTCAAATGGAAAAGTCTGATCCTTTTTTACCAATACACATACTAACCTTTTTCATCTTACATAAATTCTTTGATCTTAGCATATTGTAGTCCCTGGTTTGAAAGCTCATATGCACTGTGTCTGTTATTAACAGGATACAAGGAATGATTCATCCTCCCTATCAGGGTGCATTAGGCTGATTAACTGAATGTCATGGCCAAATGGTTAACACACCTTCATATTTGGGAGGTCCTGGGTTCAAATATCAGCCTAGAGACCAGCTACTCTGAATGGGTTTTTGTGATTTTCCTCAGTCCCACCAGGCAAATGCCAGAATAGTATCTTAAATCAGTCCATGACTGCTTCCATTAACATCCTTTCCAATTCATCATTTACTATCATCATCTCATTTGATGAAATGTAGTCTGAGGTACTAAAAAAACATTGTTAAATAATAAATAAATAAATTCATTACACTGATTAAGGTTAAGATCAACTGTACATAATCCAATAAATTTGATGGTCCATTCACAACTGTACCCAGAGATTCAATTCAGTTGGTTGTAAAGAATTAACTTGATTTTTATTCAAAGCAACAAAATAATGGAAATATGAAACTACATTGGTTATAAATCAGGGATTCACAACCTGTGGTCTGCATACTACCCATCTGTGTGTTTTGTGTGGCCCATGTACAATTTTTATAATACTGTATTAACGTATGTGAAGAAAAATAGTTATTTGATATCATAAAACATATGTTAAAATTATCAGTACCTGGCAGGGCCTTAACTAATTACTGATCAACACGTGAAGGGATGCAATCAAATCACAAGATGATGAATTAAATCTGAGACTGAAAAATTATTGTAGCAAAACCACTTTCAAGTATCTCAATAATGACCATTTTGTTAAAGAAAATTACTGAGTGACATGTGAACTAGTCTGCAATAAAAGGCATGATTTAGTAACATTTTCTTTAATACACTACAATGGCATTTCAACACAGTGTCCTGATTTATAAAACTATAATCTGAATCAATATCAAGGGGTGAATGTGGCCCAAAGTATGGAAAAGGTTAAGAATCTCAATTCTAAACACTAAAGTTTACATATAATTGACAAAAATATGGTAAAATCCTTTTTATCCTTTCCTTTCTTCAGTATGTATTTGTGATCAACATACTGCTCCCCTGTTTCAACATCTGAACCAGTTAATATTTACTAACTTGGTATTGTTGGCTACCTTATCTGATAATTTGTAATCCCCTATAACCAATAATAGAGCTGGGATAGCTCAGTGAGTATAGCGACTAGCTACGGGCTGGATCATTCATTCAATTAATAAATAGAGGGATTTTATTTTTGGTCATGATCTCAAAGATACCTTAACAGAAACATCCTAGATAGTATCATAACGTGTCCTTGACAATATTTACATCACTGGTCTGCCTTCTCTAATAAAGTATAAAATAACTCCCGTATTGCATGATTCAGTAACATTGTATTTAAATTCTAAATCGTTACCTTTGTGCGACTGGGATTGTAAAACCCCGTACAATTTCTTTCCAAGATTGTCTAGTGTGACCATATCTTTATAACAAAGGTCATTTACAGGGTTTCAGTACGTTTTAAGGAAGGGCTCTACGAACACCAATACAGTAAATTAAACAACTAAGATACGAATGGTTATTTTGCTATAATGACTTTATCTTTAGTTAAAATGTTGGAAATGCTATTAAATGTTTGTTCTAAAACTTGTTATTGATACTCTTTTGACTAGTCTATATGAACACTATTTCGCGCAATATTTTTACAATCTATATTTTAAGGTTAGCTATGACATTGCATCTTATGTTATGACATTCAATACAAATGTTCTCTCTCGTGTTTCTGAGGTTTAAATTCATTTCTATAACTATTAGGAGAAGTCGACGCAAAATATCACGTGTGATTAAATGTGAAATTCGTACGAAGATTATCACATCAGAATGAATATATATTTTGCTTATAAATTCATAGGGTATAGGAGGAACTGTGCTCATTTAATTATATTAACTGTAGTTTCATAAGGTTTAAAAAACTACAAGATTAGAATAACATATGGAAAGCTGATTTTATTATATTGATTTTACAAAATTGTACGCTGCAATACCTTACATACAATGTGACGTGACATTGTGCCTACGGTGGAAGCTTTATAATGTACAAATCCATTGGCGGAAGTAAGTAATCCGTGATTGGCTCAATGTGATCAGAATTTTGTTATAAGGAATGGTTCGATTCGATAATGTTAGGAAGGCGTGGTTTCACGTCAAATGAATGTGTGAAAAAATCGGTGTTTTCTTTATAAAAATATTACGAGAAAATTTATGGCCATCCATTTTGTGCATTCTATACGTTTCTCCTTATTATTACATGTTTTTGAGAACACAATTTTCTGTTTATTATTTAGTGTAATTTTCAGCTGAACTCTCGTTTGACCAATGACGGAAAGGTTTATAAAGTGTGTAAATGAGGTATAATTGTCTTTACTCTTTAAAGTCATTGTGTTAACGCGCCTGCGCTGAGGAGAGAATCATATGTGATTCGCCATCAAGGAAATGTGCGTGTTATTATGTGTGTATTGCGAGAAGAACAAATATTTTCAAAGAAAACTCTTCGTTGAAATTCAGCACGTTTAAAATGCGTTCTGTTGAAGAGTTGGGAACAAATGTCCCCGCTTTTCTGGCCAAATTATGGAATATAGTTGAAGATCCAGAAACTAACGACCTGATATGTTGGAGTCCGGTATGTGTCCAAATTAAGACCGAAATATTACTTTGTCATTGAACCATGCATTGATAAAGCTCACTTATGCAGTTTTCTTTCACTGTTGTCGGTCTGTACTGGAATTTTGTTTGAAGAATTTGTAAATTGCAAGTTGTACATTTATGTGATGTAAATTCTTGTACAGTTTTTGTCATAGTAGTGTATCATTTGTGACCTCGGATACAAGGTGACATACAATTTGGAAGTTTTTTTCTCTTTGTATTTCAGCAAGACAATATTAAACTAGCGGTATATTATCAGAAATCTCTTATAATTACGATGCCATTGTTTATAAAAATATTTGTATAACTGCATGTGAACTGGTTTTTCTGAAACATCTTTGATAACATTTGAATATTATATGTCTGACTGCAATTACATAACAGTTAATGGGAAAACTGAAGATTTGGGTTTGGGTCCATCTGTACCGACTTACTATAAGAGACAGCAAAGACAAAGACATACTGTCTCATCAGTGGACATTTTTAGGAACTCATACTGTTTCTGTAGGGTCCCAACTTGCTCCAACATTGGCCATTTTCTGTATGCACCACTTTGAAAACATAGCATGAAGCACAGTCACACACAGACTAACCCACTGGAAAATGTATGTGGATATTTATGGTTTGGTTCCATGGATGAGAAGATCACAACGTTTTTTTTGCTGTTTCTGACGGAGATACAAACATAGTGATGTTGTGCATAAATAAGAAGATTCTACCTTAGGATAGATTAATGTTATGTTGAAGGTGACATCCTTCTGGAATAGTGTCTGTAGTCTCAGAAGTTGACTGCCTCCATCATCATGGCAATAGCTTTGGATTATGTTAGTTTCAGACATTGTATTCTATTTACGCTAGTCCTTGGAAGGATTGTTATAGTGGTGCTGAAGGTAAAATGCTCTTACCAATGTATAACAAAGCTATTATGATTTCTTTTGATGCAGTGGTATACATACCTTTCCTTCTTCAGATTGTCTGTCTGATGTTTAAGGTTCTAATATTGTGTGATCATATATCCGTTTTAGTTATGAACAGGAATCTGTGTGATCTGTATCTCAAATCCCATTTGAAGTTTTTGGTGCTAAAATATTGGTACATATTAATGTGTAGCACATGATATTCTCTTATCACATATCGCTGCATAAGAAGAAAGAGTCCTCTCCTGATTCAGCAAGTAGGAAACAATTTAGCTTATCTAAAATCCTCTCTTACATAATAATAAATCATTTTGGCTTGCCATCCAGCAAGTTGGATTTGTTACCAAAAGTAAATGATCTCCCACAACAGTCCTGTAACAATTCTACTCTGCTTCCAAGAAACACATCTTCACACTGAACATTTGTGATTTTATGCCTCACACTTTGACTGTCTCAATGGGGACAATTAATAGGAGAGGGGAATGATTTTAACATAAGACTTTTAATTCCACTCCAATCCAGGATGTTGCTATTAGCTCTGATATTTACCTACCACCTGCGGTTTTCAATAGCTGAAGCAGATTTAATATTTTGATGATTATTCACTTTTTGCACACACTCACTGTTTAATAATTTGCTGTTGCATTTCCACCCTCCCCACTGTATTATGCTCAGTGATAAATAAGGTGCACACTTTCCGTGGGGTTCAGTTTTTACATCAGCGGTATCACAATACATGAGATATGTGTGTTACTATAAAAGCCTGAATGCTGGTGAAACCTAGAATTTACCAAACAGTGTTGGTAAAAGCCTGAAAAAAGCATCTTATGTTGGGGTTTTACCATTCACTATTGGTAAAACACCATATCCCAGGAGAAGATGGTAAAAGCAAAGAGAAGGGTATAAATGTAGTAACTCACTTTTGCAGTCAATGCTTTTTTCTAATTTTGGTTCCATAAATTAGTACATACATTCCTTACCTAAGTTGTATTTTAAAAAAGTTTAACAAGTCAAAATAATAGATAAAAACATTGCAAGAAATATAAAAATTGTGAAATAAAAAATACAAGACATCAAACCTAACCTAACCTTTTTACTACCTGCTTATGGTAAATCCTAACATTTGCCAACACCCATTGGTAAGACCCTGAAATAAGATGCGAATAGTTATGTTTTCTGGCTTATACCAACACTGTTTGGTAAATCCTAAGTTTGTCTGGTAAATCCTAGGTTTTACCAACACTCAGGCTTTTGCGTTAACATATGCACCATTTAACCTAACATTATGTAACACTGGCATTGACACATCTCTGTCTAAGAGCAGGAGGTTTGTTTTCACTTTGTACAATGGACTGTTCTTTCTGGCCTTTGTGGAAATGACCACTGCCTTTTAAATATACTTAATTCAACACCTCATCTATAGTTTCCAATATCAGACTGGATCATATGGAGATTGACTTACAGTTCTCCCAGTCATTTCCTTTGATAGCTTTAACCCTTTGAAGCTGAAGCTCATATAAATAATTATTAACAATTCACTGTATACCGCAAAGAAAACAATGTGTCACCAATACAGAGATCAAGTGGTTACAGTTATTTAATCATCCCTGTTTACAGTGAGAATTTATACGAAATCTGTAAACCCAAAATGCAGCGTTACTGATTGTTAAAGTAGATGGTGCATATAGTTACCATTCAGCTTTAAAGGATTAACTAACTTCCTCAGTGACTGAATAGTTTACAACCACGCAGAAACGTTACCATCAGTATGAGATTGAGTTTTTATGAAGTAGAAAGTGTAAAAGTCCCTTAAATGTTGATGTGATGCATAACTTGTCAATCCAGTTCTGTCCCTAAATAACTTTTGAATTCACTTGCTTATGTATTCTACAATCAAGCAGGAAGTAAGGCTTATTTCTTAAGATTACATAATTAAAAAATAATGATAGGATTTAATTATTTTTTTATTGCAGGCTGGAACAAGTTTCTTCATTAGAAACCAGGCTCGTTTCTCCAGAGAACTTTTGCCCCTGTATTATAAGCACAACAATATGGCCAGTTTTGTGAGGCAACTAAATATGTGTAAGTGTAACTTGTTTTTTTATTATACTCTATAGTTCAAAGAAAGAAGTGTATCAGCTTCCAGCACTTGTATTTTATGTTTTAAATGAGCTCAAAGAGCCAGAAAGCTGGTATCCCTCAAATAATTTTAATTGTTCAGTTGTGTTACACATATAAATTTTTTTTGCATTGCTGCAATATCAATTTGCATGCTTGTACCGTTATGAAATTTATTACTTTTCCATAAGGAGGATTGACAATTAATGGTGCAGTTTTGGGTTTTTCAGAGTTATTTTGAGACTTGGAAAAAATCATTAACTGATGTTTTTATCAAAATTTGGTTAAGCATTGCATCAATCTGATTTTGATCAGTAGCATGTATAGAAGATATCTTGACATTTTGCTATATAAACAGAGTGAAATTTTATGAAATATAATTAGGTGCTGCTATGAGAATAACTTTAAAACTCTCGTTTTTCTTGAAACCTTAAAAATGCAGGTAATGAAATCAGTGAATTGTATTGGTATTTCTTTGGGAAATAAATGTGTGTAGTATGCCCCTATGGATGTCATTATGTTGTTTTTTGACGTAAATACGTCTATATTTTCGGGTCAGTGTCATTCGGCAAAAAGTGAAATGAAAAAGTGTAACTAAAAAGTGTAACTGCATTGTTATGTTACCTTGGAAACGTCAATTGTTTACTCGGCATTATTGTTACCAAGGAAATGTCATCTGTTTACTTAGCATTGTTGTTACCTATAAAACATTTCATTACATTACATTACCTTACCTTACCTTACCTTACCTTACCTTACCTTACCTTACCTTACCTTACCTTACCTTACCTTACCTTACCTTACCTTACCTTACCTTACCTTACCTTACCTTACCTTACCTTACCTTACCTTACCTTACCTTACCTTACCTTACCTTACCTTACCTTACCTTACCTTACCTTACCTTACCTTACCTTACCTTACCTTACCTTACCTTACCTTACCTTACCTTACCTTACCTTACCTTACCTTACATTACATTACATTACATTACATTATCTTACCTTACATTACCTTACATTACCTTACCTTACCTTACCTTGCATTACATTACATTCAGCTACCACAGACCCATCTTAAGCGTAACTAATTCAAGTTAAGTCTTTATCAAACTTTTCTCAATTGTAAAGCGGGTATAAAGGATATATTTAGAATAAAGCCAATATATAAACTTCCTTTCCATATAGACGTATTTACGTCTAATTCTCCGGAACCGTAGTTCCACTATTACTTTTTGTACTATTATGATCATAATATAGAGTTTGATTTCTCTTAGATGGCTTCCACAAAGTTGTGTCAATTGAATGCGGTGGGCTTAGAGTAGACAAGGATGAGATGGAATTTGCTCATCAGTGTTTCCTAATGGGACATCCATATCTCCTACAGCATATCAAAAGAAAGGTAAGAAAGTTATATGTACTACAAGGATGTGCTATATAAAAATGATACTGTTTATAGCTTTTTAACTTAAATGTTGTCACTTAAGTAAAAAATACTAATAAAGATGCAGGTAAGGTTATACATCCCCAAAGTTCTATGCCATGAAGCTTTGTAGTTCCCTTCATGCAGTTTTAAACTTGGCATTAAATGGAGGTGAGTGGTAATCTGTATTCTTGCAAAAGAACTGCTGTTATGTCTTGTGTAAGTGGTTGGGTAGGTCCAGACTTGGTGGTAGTAAGAAAAATCATAATGCTACCATTGGGAATATTATTTCTTCATATAGTTTTGATGCTAGTATTCTTGTTTGTGTCACCGTTGACTTGTAAGCCCAGATATGTATAATACTACAAAGTATTACAACCCATAAAACCAACATCAACATTTTAACTGCTTGGAGAATCTCAAATAACATAATCTTGGTATAATTTACATAATAACTTTTTAAATTATTGAATTATTTTTCTCTGTTTAAAGCTTGTAGCTTGTAATTTGCCCTTTATTAATCATGATGTATTTATGTCTAGATACCTACAAGTAAGATAGAGGAAGGATGTACTAATTCAAAACCAGAGTTGATGAACAAGGTTCTGGCTGATGTAAAAATCATGAAGGGACGGCAAGACACTTTAGATTCACAACTTAATGCTATGAAACGAGAAAATGAAGTTCTATGGCGTGAAGTTGCCATCCTCCGACAGAAACACAGGAAGCAACAGCAGATTGTCAACAAGGTAGTTATCACTAATGAACTTTTTTTTTACTGATTTTGTATGAAGAGAATTGATTTAAACTTAAATTTGCCAAACATTGTAGTGTAAGCAGTTCCTGTGTTGCATTTTCTTTCTGAAGTTACATTTCTTAACATTTACAGAGTTTGTTTTTCTTTCAGTTGATACAGTTTTTGGTAACAATGGTACAGTCTTCAAGGAATGGAGGAATTGGTGTCAAAAGGCATTACCCTTTAATGCTGAATGATACTTCACATCGCCCCAGCAAAATCTCCCAACTTAGTGCAGAGCTTTCTAATCTGAATTCTAACCTTGTAAGTTTGAGTAGTCTGCCTGAATAGTGTTTAGCTGACTAGAGAATGTAGCTTATTGGGTAATGAAAAAATTTACAGTTTGTACATATTTCTTTGATATTGTATAAATCAGTACATCAAGGAGGCTACCTCAGGTTGGGCATGGAAAAATTGGGTGGACCATTGCATAATTGGAAGAACATTATTAAAATGAATCTGAAGTTAATTGGTTGCAGGACTGAGATTAGAGAACTATTTTATATACAACTCTGAATATTTGTGTTAGATATGGGTGGTGGTGATTCTTCTTCTCAAGCACTTCAATCTATTGTGGATTTTGGCTTCCATTACAGTTTTCTTCCATTCTTGATAGTCCTGAGCCACTGTATACCATCTTCTTATTTCCATATTCTTAAAATCCTCTTCAGCCTCATCTATCAATTTTCTACCTGTTATACAATTTCCCAGGTTGGAGTATCTTACAAACATTTCACATAGCAATTTGTGTATGTTTTCTTCTTCCTAGATTATTGCAAATGTCGTAATCCTAAACATCCGTCTGGTTGGGATTTCAGTTGTACTATCTTCTCAACAAATTTTGTTTTTACGGGATTGGGTTATCAACCCCATGCCCAGCCCCAAACCTGGAGAACCAGGGTGTCTGTCTTTGTCTGGAACCTCACTCTTGATCTGTATGGCTTGAGATACCTTACCAGTAGTTAACGTTACTGCCGGCATAGCCCTTTAGATCGTCGGGACTCGCCAGCCCCACTGCCATGACAAAGTGGAGATACCATAGGTGATTGCTTGGTGAATTATTTATTTTGGAAGTAGTGATGGAAGATTTCATGATCAACAACATAGTTTACATTCTTTGTGCTTAACTGAAGCAATAGCAGCAATTAGTGGCATAATTTTTATAGTTATCACCACCCACAAGTTGAGGAGTGCTATATTAAGTAGGATCTGAGGATGATTGAGGCAGCAATGAACTGTGTGAAACATTGAAAAACTTCTAGCAGACTAAATGGTGCTACAATCAAGAAGAGTTTTCTCTGAGCACTGTGTTGTTTAAACCATTGTTATACCGGGTCTACAATTTATGAGGCTGCGGTTGTGCTTGCATTGTGTCGTCGGCCGGCGCTCTGTTGATGTGGGTGGGAGTTATGCGCGTTCTTCCGGTGGGTGACGGGCGAATCAGTTTCAGTACCGCTAGTAACAGCGAGCTACGAATATTTCTCGTCACTAATGCATGTTATTACATTAATTGTTCTTACCTTAAATCATAAAAGATGTTCAAAGTGACTTCCTTGTGCTTGCAGGCAAGCTTCACATCTCGTTAACATATTTCAAAATACTGCAAACACAAGTAAGTCATTTTGAACATCTTTTGTGATTTAAGGTAAATAACAATTAATGTAATATCATGTACAAAATGCCTGTACAAATAGGGCCAGATTTTAAAGAAATTATTTTGAATCTTTTTCAGCTTTAGTAGGATTTCAAGTTTTTGTGGTTGCAAGTATGAAGGTGGCTGGCTGTCTTTTGGGTTGTAGTGTCATGCAGTCTGGTAGAAAATTACCATTGTTTCAGAGGTCCTTGCTGCCTCCATCATTAAGGTGATGTTGGCAACAAGGACCTCTGAAATGGTAAATGCCTACCCAACTACCTAGCTCTACAACCCGAAAGGCAGCCATCTTCTTACTTGGCTTTATACAGATATTTTGAGTATATATAATCAAAGTAATTGCTTAAAGGTAGAAGTGTTTTAATATTTACGTTCAGTGATTGTGAATAGAGAAGAATATAATTTATTTCATTGAGTTTAACATTTAAGGATTCTTGTTATGTAATGGGTTTTAATTTCAGATTACTCACTCTCCAACTGGACCAGTGATCCATGAACTAGATGCACCAGAGCTGCTTGAAGGCTGTGAAGCAAATCCAGGGGAAATTCCCACAGCGGAGCCATTTCTTCCATCAGAGTAGGTGTAATTGTGCACAGTTGGTTTGTTCCATTTTTTTCTGTTTTATTCTTGTTTGGTAATTGTATCAGTTTGATCTTTTACACATGCACACAATTTTAAGGTGTTTATCATCCTAATCTCATTGGCATTGCTAAAGAGAAATTTGTTAAAAGATGAAGTCTGAAGGTTTCTGTTGATGGTCTGTAAAAGTGGACTTTTGGACTTCGTCCATCATACATTCAGTTTTATTGAAATGTAGACATTAGACAAAGTGAATAATTCCACTTTTACAAATTTGTTTATGGAGGTCATTGTTTTATTTAGGGAGTTATTAAGACATCAGTTGGCAGTATGTTTCTTCTCATTTCTTGAAACATTTAAATGTTTCTTGTGTGTTTATTATGAAAGTAATTATTTCAAACTAATGTTGTTTTGGTGGGTCTTGTTTCAGTTTTTGCAGTATTGTGATAACTGATGATGCTGAGAAGCAAAATTCTACTGCCTGTTTAAAACCTAATGAACAACTGCCAGGCAATTCTGATTGTGTTACCATTATCCCAGACACAGAAGTACTTTTAGAAGTGGCAGAAGAATGCCCATTAAGTCCTAGCTTGTTGTTAACTGCTTCACCCATGGATGTTAATTCAGTCATTGGCATACCAAAGTTATCCAAGTTTAAGGGTAGGGCAAGAGTGAACAGTAATGAGAATAAGAAGAGAAGGTCAAAAATAATTAATTCAGATGCCAAAAAATCTGTTGGTGCTGATTCAGTAACTCCAGACACATATACCAAAGCGTTGTCCACTGCAGCTGAAGGAGGGTGAGTATTTATTTAATTTAAATAATTTTTAGAAAACTCTACCTTGTTGCTGTGCTCACTGATACTATGAGGCTTTCAAACACACTTGGAAATTTATCACACAACCCCTGCACCTCAGCCACTTTGATGAAGAGGCAGTGATTCTGCAATCATGGTTTTGTTTGTGCCTTGAAATATCAGTATTTTGGTAATTTTTCTTTTTGATATTGGTTGCAATATTGTGAGACCATCTGACCATCTATAACATACACTAAAGAACAAGTGGTAAACCTTCAACACATCAGAAATTTTTGACTGCATGCATCAACATGTAACACATTACATTGGAAATTTACAGATTCAGGTCAGAATCTGTTCAGCTACATTTCTCTCAAGAATCAGTCTTATGTGTTGCAGGGAAGTATTTTTATTGTGTGACTCTGGTATAGTAGTTTTAATTCAGTTTGAGGCAGGAGTTCTGCAGCGAGTGTGCTCATTTAGTGTGTGAAAGGTCAGTCTGGAGTTCACATATGAACTCTTTTATGCAACATCCTGGTATGTTACTCTTTAGATACTTGATTTTCATTTTAACTGTTGCTCCCTTCATGCCCACTCCCAGACACATTAAAAATCAAGATTTACTTTCATTTGTGGTTTTGGCCAAAATTAATATAAATCTTTTCTAAAATGTGATAAATTTTAAGCAGTTGAACTTCTAAAATGTTTAATAAAACTTTGATTTTGTGGCATAGTCAGATGAGATTTTGTGTGATGGTGTTTTGTCTGTGGACTCTTGTTATATATTAACATAGACAGTGGTGAACAGTGTGTGTGAAAGTGATGGTTAAAACAAATATCTTTACATATGAACAATATCACTGTCAGAAACTTTCATGTCAAAGCTAATAGAACATTCTGTTTCTGAATTTTTATCTCAGAATGCAGTGTATTGCTTTTTAATACATGTAGCTGTGTTGAGACTTCCAATATTGTGAGTTTCTACATAAGTAGAAGGATTGGGATAAAATAAAAGCTGTGTCGATTGTTCTATTGCTGTTAAGAGCCACTGTTCTCATCCAGAATTTTGAAATTAAGATTTTGTTCAAACAATTACTTATGTTGCTATCTGTAAATCTACTTCATGAATTCAGACTCCTAGGCTTGAGAAGCATGCTTGGGGAGGTATAAGAATGTGTCTGCTGGTGTGTCCATCATGTATAGTACACAGTAAGTGTGACCTTGAGCGACATACTTTTGTTATGGACAGAGTAGCTGCAAGTAAGTAGGAATGAGAATATCTGCTGCTTGTTATGCCATACATACATTGTGTACCAAATTATAATATTTCTTGTCTTGTTCTGAACATACATATTTGCAGAGTTATTATTTTCTTGTGGGTTGAGGTCAGTAGGTTTATACCCTGATTATGGTAACAATTTTGTAATTTTGCTTTCAACCTAAAGTGACTTGATTTTACAAACAGTGCATATAAATATATTAATCCTAATTTTATTATGTTACAGAATTGATTTTCTAGATGTGGTTATGCCTACAACAGTTGAGATTCTTGAAAAAGATACAAATAATGAAGCTGAAATTGATGTAGAAGTTGGTGAAGATTTATTGAATCCTGATCGTTTGGCAGCTGCTACAGATGTAGCAATATCTGGCATCACTAGTGTGGCAGCAGCAGGCGAAGACAAGTCGTACACACCTGTGGATTCATTAGTCAGCGCTGTTTCTAGATCTTCATTTGATGAAGTTTTACCAGTATCAGATGTCACAAATAGCAAATGTGCCAGTACATATCTTGTTGACAGTGCTGTGTTAGGCAATGATGCCAGTAGCAGTGCAAAGCTCAATACCAGTGACTTGATGGGATTTAAGCAAAAAGCTTCAACTTCCCATGATGAGGATGGATCACCATCTAATATGGTTCTAGCCTGTACTGGCGTTAATTCTGAAGAAAATTGTATGGACGGGTATGCATTTTGCATATTAAAAGTATTTTTATTTGTAGTAGTAAATTTTAAATGCATATGTCATGCATACTTATAAGTTTACAACAGAAGCTTAGATAGAAGTTGAAATAAAGTGCAGTGTTAATGTAACAAGAATTTATGCAATTTAGAAAAATGCTAATTTTTAATGGGTACTTATACTGTGTGATTCTGTTCAGGATGGTGACAAGCTAATACAAAAGCCCACAAAGACTTGTGTAAAACTGATTTTAATTTCTTTTGATATAGGAGTGAACTGGATTCTCATGTGGACTGTATGCAAAATGATCTGGACAGCCTGAGGGAACTTCTTAAAGGCGAAGGTTATAGTTTGGATGCCAACACTTTGTTGGGGGTATGTGCTTCTATACCTGCCTTCGAACAAGACTTCTTGAAGGTAGATTTATTTTAGTCTCATGCCAGCAGTGTGTGGCGGAATTATACTGGCACTAAGTAACTTAATGTTAGCAATTTTAATACAGCAGATTTGGTTATGTTACAAAATAAGGTCTCTGCAAGGTTACTAAAAATATTTGGCCATTCTTCCAGAACAGCATTCTAATAACATTCAAATAGTGTTTGTGCTGTGAACAGTGTTGGCCTCAATATAATAATTTTATTTTCCGTCCTTACACAAGCTTATAGATTGTTAAAATTACATAAAATTATAACATTTCAACATTTTTGATATTGTTACATTTTAAAATGACGACATGTTTCGATGTTCAATTCCATCATCGTCAGGTCTATCAATCAAAACATCGAAACATGTCGTCATTTTAAAATGTAACAATATCAAAAATGTTGAAATGTTATAATTTTATGTAATTTTAACAATCTATAAGCTTGTGTAAGGACGGAAAATAAAATTATTATATTGAGGAACACAAGCATGATGCAATTAAGATATAAGTGTTGGCCTATTAAAAGGCAATGTACTGAATATCTAAAAGTTCAATTTCCTGTTAGGGACTGAAGGACTTTTTACCGTTATGTCCATAATGGCTCCACTTAGCCTCCATTTTACTTTATACCAGGAATAATTTAACGAAGGATAAAGGTGGTTGGCATGTCAAGCTGATTATTTGCCTTCATTTAGTGTCAAGATTAATGTGTGTAACTTTTCTGCAAGAACTTTCAGTAAAGAATCTGACAGCAATCTGTCACATTTCAGCAGATTATTTGAATTGTCTTACTGGTTCTCTGATCACAAAGTAGGTGTTAATAGACTTCATCTGGTTTGTACTGCCCATTGTCTTTTATTAGGTTACTTTTCTATGGCAATACATTTTGGTAAACATTTCTATGTATAATTTCAGCATTATGAATTTGTTATATTTTACCCCCCCCCTTTTTTGCTTTTTTAATATTATATGGGGACCAGTGGTAGGCTATTCTGAACATGATAGTAAACTTTGGGTTCCATAAAAGGTGGGAAATTTCTTGATTAGCAGAGTGACTTGCATCTTGAGAGATTTGAGGTTTTCATGCTGATGAGGATGATGTTCTTTTAGTTTTTTGTGCTATGTAGAGTTGTCAGTAGGTGCCAGCATTCCAGAGAAATGTACTATCTCCATCTTCAGACCTGAAGATAACTTCTCAGTAATGATGCTGCTGCATGGAGTTAGTTATATTAGATGTAAAAATTATGGTTATATACGAATTTGAACTGAGATTAAAATGAATGACTGTAGACTGGATGCCTGGGTCAAGGATTTCTTTCTTTCTTTATCACTGTTGGTACCAAGAATAAAATTGTGAGTGTGTAAAGCTAATCATTTACTTCTATTTAGTTATGAGGTGTAGAATGCCTTGGACATTATCTTTTAAGCCTCGTGGTCTGGTGTGTGGAATTAGGCAATTTTATGTTTATTTTGGCAAGTGAAGTTATGGCCAAAAAGCAAGCCTGCGTGGACCTTATGGTGGTAGTTATAGGAATTATTGAATGGTGAATGCTATGTATAAACTATGAATTTATTTTACTTAGCTGTTTGGTGAGGATCCATTCTCTGCAACATCATTTGAGAACCTGACTGGAGATCGTGATATGCAAGTCACTAGTGGTAAGTAAACAGACTTTGTCAGGAGGTACATATTTACACAATTTTTGAGGTGACTGTGGGGTTTAAACCAGATAAATTTAATTCTGTTGCAGAATTAGCTATTTTAATTTGTGTTCATCTGTATCTATCTGCACTGTATTCAGTTATTTCTTGTTGTGGAATAATAACTGTTTAGTTAGTCACATGTTTTCTTTGAAGACACAAATGAGATGGTTTGAACACTTTATGTAACTCTGGAACAGGTCTAATAGGTCTAAAACATGTAAAGAAGGAGAAAAATTTAATTTTTATAGCTGTAACAGGTCCTTTTATTTGTGTGTTCCTGAAAGCTCTTGTACAATCATTGTGTATTTAGGAGCAGAATGTGTGTTCATTTTGAGACATTACTTTACATCAAAATTGTTTGTTGCTGTTCATGAAGCAATTAGCAGTGCAGATCCTGACAAGGAAGTACTAAGTAGGATGACAGTACACTGCCTTATAACAAAATTTTTAGACAAAATGTTTGCCTTTGTACAGCTGTTCTAAGTTCTTCCTAACACATAAAAGCTGAAAATCAACATTTGTCTTGGCATATTGATGTCAACAACACTTCAAAATGCTGGTGTAGGTATTGTTACATTTTAAATAGAACACCTTGATTGTGTGTATGTGCATGCATGCATGTGTACGTGTATGTTGTGAAACATAATATTTTAGAATTGTTTGACACATGTGAAATGATAGTCCTGTTGACCAAATGAATAAAAAACGCTGTATAGTGTCAGCTGTGCTTTTTCCTGATTTAGAGATAATACATTAATTTTTAATATGGCTTTCTTCAGAAAATCTTTCTGTTTATAGATATTAACACTTGTTCACAGTGTTGTGCATGTATTCTCTCTTACTAACCAATGTACTGTTTTCAGGAAGTGAACTTGCAACATATTCATCAAATCTCTTGGACATGGCAGATATGTTTGGGGATTCTGAGACTGGTGAATTGGGCTCGCCATCAACTCCCGAATCGAGCAAAGTCATGGATATTACTTTAAGTGAATTGAACACTCCCCAAATGTCAATAGCAAGTCCAAGCACTAAGAAAAAATAAATATCTATATTTGAGTTTAGATGTGGTTATGTAAATAGTTATTTTCAACTAATCTTTAAATATTGCTATGGGTATGATGTATGGAATGAAATGCATTTCGTAGATTATATTAGAATAGGAATATAATGTTAAAACAAAAACACTTTTTATCTGACAGAAGCAGACTGATGTATATGATAGAAATAATTGTGCTTCATTTATTTGTTTTAGATATAAGTACATTAATGTATATATAATGTTTATAAGCATTATAATTTTGAACACAGTAGTTGCATGTTAAGTGTAACTGATGTGCACAACAGTAGATCAGTATTTACTGACTTATCATTTGAACAGCAATGCCCAGCCCTTGTTTATATATATATATATAGAAAAGTTTCTTTCATTATAAATAGTGCTGCAATGCTTTTGTTCAACCATTAGGTATATTTATAAAATAAACTGGAGATTTCCTACCTTTAGTACTGTTGGAGATGTCAGTACAATTGGGAGCTAAGGTTAGTATTCTACTCAGGAATATGTCTTAAGTTTTTTCTTTCCATTTGCATTTCACAAAATTAAATGCTGGATTTAATATTTTATGTATGGTGCCCGGTGTGAAAGTTTAGAATTATTTGTTTTGTACTTAATTTAAATTCTGTAGGAGTGATATTTGTCAGACTATGTGCATGTTATGTATTGATGTACTTCCTCAAGGCAAATGATGCACCATTATTGAGTCTGTATGACAGATTGGTTTGTCATGTTTGATTATCAGCAGTGTTTGCATTGTAATGGAACTAAAATGTTTGGAAATATTTTATTTTTTGTTAAAGAAAATTATGTGTTTGTACAGTGATATGCATGATTACTCACTTGATGCAGAACCTACCATGACAGCATCCTGCAGCAGCACCTAACGAACTAAGTGACACAACACGCTACATAGTCATTGCATGCTGACAGGTGGGTTTTGAGTTCAATGGGACTCTACTTTCATGCCAAAAATCTGTTCAGTTCACTAGTATTAGTTTCAGTATGCCTAAAAGCTGGTAAGGAAACACCAAGGTATTTACTTACATAAGTCAGTGTAAAATGCAAGCAGAATGATACTTGCCAAATTTTATTTTATGAATGATTGTAATGTAGAGTAGCTTATAGTATTATATGATTTAAAAATTTGGTACGGATGTTGAAATGCCTACTCTGCAGGACACATTAGGTAAAGCTGTCCTTGTTACTGGGTGGTGACATAAGCAGTCTTCACAATATTGAATATTGCATTTTAAATTGTAAAACAATAGATAACATCAAAACAAAATTCAACCTTCACAGTAAGTGATGTAATAATATGTAAGGATGTTTGTGATAGTAGTTCTATGAACACAGTTTTTTTAGAGTTAGTCTTGTAATATTTGACTGGTATATAACTGAACTTAACATTGCAAAATACTTATCAAGGACTTAATACTGAAGATTAAATTAATTATTGCTGTGAAAGCATCATATTTCACAGTATATTTATTGAAAGCACTTCATGACTTACATAATCTAATTTAATTGTCTGAGATACAGATCTGAGAAAGTAGCTTGTCATATGGACTGGTATTTCAATTACTTATAAATTGCATCTAAATTAAAGTTAATTTCAATATGAAGGCCATATAAGGTAAATTTTAAAAATGTTCTGTACTATCTAAATTTAAGACAGTAGCATGTCCTTTTTCTTTGATACCGTGGAAATGTGTTGTAATGAGTCAATGAAGTTATAACTTTTGAAATTGATTATACATTTCTTTCTGGGCCTTAGTTTGAGACTTGGTACATGTGCATGGTTTTTACAAGTAGAGGAGCTTGTGAAAAATTGTTAGAATGAGAGTGAAGATGCAGTTTAAATTACGGTGTTAGAATGAATTGTACCTGAGGAAAATATGACAGCATTGTAATTAAGAAAATTCTTATTGGTACTGTTTGAACTTTTGGTCAGTTGAAATAAGAATATGGAAAAAGAAGTACTTGCATTGCTGCAGAGTTTATTGAACTTAAAGAAGTGACAGCTATGTATATTCACATACAATAATTGTAGAGGATGTGTGTATTGTTTTGTTGTTTACTGTATCCTTGTAGTTAAAACACATTGAGAACAATTAATAATGTGTGAAATTCCACTGAACCATTCCATCAAGGTACTTGACTAGATTCATGAACTGCTCATGTGCCTTGAGGAAAACACAGGTAGTGTGGAGAAGAACCTTGAAAAAATTTTACCAGCCAAATTAAAATTTCAGCAGTGTTGCACATCAGGAGTTTCAACTACCACTGCTTATTGGTCATATGACAACATTAACTTCTATTTTTTTAAAATCATTTTAATGTTAGGATGTATTTTATATTCACAGTAGTCACAGTTAAAATTTCTTGTTACTGGGTAGTTTCTGTACATATTATTTTTAAAGCAAACCACTCCTAGGCTAACAATAGATAGTAGTTGGTAAACAGGTGCAAATAGCCAATGCAGCTGACTTGCATATAAACCTACTGTTACTACCACCAGTTCATTGAAAATAACTAAATTTGAAATGTAATAGCCATGCAGTGTATAATGTGTATTCAAGGTTAGAGTGAGACCTGGGAGGAAGTGTATAGCCAGTTGCAAAAGTTACTTCATTGATTCATTACAATAATGATATGTAAATTTAAGAAGGAGGGGGGCATGATCAGAGGAAACTGAATCTCATGAAATACACATAGTAGCTGATTTTATTCATGCAGCTGTTCCTGTTGGCAGTTCAAAGTTTTGCTTAAGGGTCACTTACACAACTTTGTCCAAGAATTTAATTTCATTATGTTATCTGTTTCATATCTCTTTCAGTCTCCGTAATTTTGTAATATAAATTACAGTATGTAGGAAACACCTGTTACATAGTAGTTGTTAATTTGCCCATGGTGAAGTATATGACATAAGATTTGATGTTTTCATGGCACTGTGAGTATAGTTGGCGGTCTTCTGGGTTTTTACACCATGTAGCATTTTTGCTGTGTGCCAGTGTTGTGGGGGAATGTAGTGCCCTCATCTTTAGTGCTAAAGAGAGGATTGCTAGGAAGTGGATGGCACATAGCCAAAATGCTACATTATAATACGAACTGCATCATCCATGCATAATTAGTAAATTGTAGTGTATTTCAACAAATGATAACTTCATATTTATAAACCAGTTTATCTTCTTTTTGCTACAAAAAAGTCTAATGATATTGATTTATTATAATTCCAATGTGAGTAAAAATGGTGAAATTAAACTTGACCCCCTATACTCCTTAGTGTCATATATTGAAGTACAGTAGAGCCCTGATTACCTGACATTCCATTTTATTCTATGTGCCATGAGTCATAGTGAGGGATTGTATTCTGTTGGACTGCACCTGCTTATGTTGAACAACAAAGGGAGGCAACTGCTACAGACTTACTTTTCAGGCACTGGCATGGCCTTACTGATTTCCTAAAAATATAAACTTTCGTTTAGAAATATGTATTTTGTTAAATACTGTTTTTGTTTGTGAGGTTATTTCATCTGATGCCATATTATATTTTCTTCATAATTTATTAATATTGTAAATTGAGTTGATATTTACCCTCATCTTTTTCATTAGTCTTCCATGTTGTCCAACATTTTTTATCTGACCATCCGTTGGTCCCATTTAGGTTGGATAATCAGGACTGTACTGTAATACACCAGAGGGTGTGCAAGTAGAAGAAAATTACGCTTTAACTTGAAATATTGTTATTCTTTTTTGGTGTTGACAGGTACCTGAGTGCAGTGAGGCTACAACTTACCTGTGGTAAACTTGTATATAAGACACTATTGCATAGATCTAGACATTGCCATATATGCCTTTTGTAAATGTCACTGTTAACAGTAACAATGTTATAATCCATATATGACTAATAATTTTTTCTCTTCAAATTACTGTTTGTTATGAATGTATTCTTCAGAAAACAAAACTTATTAATGCTACATTTAGAGAAACTACTAAATATGAATGTGACATCTTTAGAAAGTTATCAGAACTAGTATTTCTCCATATTTGTTAGTAAATATGAAAATATTGTTACTGCTTGTGTACTTCGTAATGCATTTATTCGTTGTATTCCTTGTGTTATTTTGAATCTCATTGGTGAAGAGGTATGTTGATCTGTTTCTCATGATGAAATGAATCCTAATAAATAATCTAAAGGCCTTTCATTGCCCTGACCACACTCAATTGGCAGAAAGAATTACACTATTATTTTTGGCAGTCAGGAGAAGTCAGAGTACTAAAACAGAAGATGATAACCATGTCATAGTTAAGGAAGTTAGTTGCTGGCCTGTTACCTTGGAGGACCATGTTCACACAGGGCAGTCCTTGTGTGGTTTTTGGTGGACAAAGTGGCACTGTAACAGGTTTTTCAGTCAGTATCATTCCACTGCTGCTTCATATTTACTCATGTATAATCTGTGGGATGGACAGTGGGCCCCATAGCAGCAGTAGTACTATTGAGACTGTCTTGCCTATTGCAGGAGTAGCACTGAGCTAGAAGATGTGCTTCACCCAGTAACAATTTAGTCTCATGCCGTGAATTCCATGTAGAAAGGTCCTGCTGTGTGTTTAACATCTTTCTTCATTTTATTGCTTTTTCTTCTGTGGCTGTTAAATTTTTTAAAGTAGCATGCTTCTTATAATTTTTTTGAATGTTCAGTGACAGATTTTTGTAGCTGTTCTGCTGTCAGTATTCTGTCTAATTGTGCACAAAGTGTACACGCACATTTTTAGATTTTTTTCATTTGGTAATTGTAATTTTACCATATGCCTATACACAGTACAAGGATTCTTGATATAATCCAGCATCCTTGAGTTTGCTTTCACCTATGTTTACAGTCTGCTTTATATGTTAAAAGGTAATATATAGCTGAATTTTCATCATTGTTACTGAGGTCTTCTTAACCAGGAAATGTGGAAGAATATTTATTTTGATGTATGAGTGGGAATGGTATTTGATGTTTGTTAGCCATAAGGACCCAGATACATATTACCAGCTTCTGCTGTAGGTGTCATTTCAGATCTCACAATATAACTAATATATGCCAGCATGAGAACACTCGTGTAAAATAAGCACTGACGTGAGTTTCCGTACAATGACGTATGTTTCCTTAAAATATGTTGATAAATGAAAATTATTTATTTCACATTTTAAATCAGCTTCACAAAGTGTGATACAGAGGCTATATGGATAAACATGAAAATTGTATCAATAAAGACAGTTTTGTTAATACTGGATATTTTGTAGTGAATTTTGTTGTAAGACTACAGTTTATATTGTACTGATATGGTGAAGAATAAGAGAACAGAAAAAGTAAATTCTGAAAGTCTATGATAGGCAGAACATTGATGATAACCAGAACATACCTTTAACAGTCTAACCTTAATTTTCCTTTTCTTTAATCAGTTTACCTGAGTGAAGAACAGAATTTGAAAACAATGTTGAGAATATGTAATCTGCTGTATAAGAAGTGCTCTAATTAGGGACCTGAGAAATTTTTGTAACAAGGATGATTATAGTTTGTGCTTTTTATTTAATATTGTTGGATAAATAAAGCAGAGAGACTGAGATATGAAAGACATTACGGAACCCAGATATTTGTATAACGTGATGGTAAGAGGTCATATTGGAAGGTCAAGGAAAAGATGTGAGGATAAAATTCATCTAGGGGGAAAAATACCAGTAGGTTGTGAGGATGTGAACTGACTGCTGGCTCAGGCCAGTGTCTGGTAATGGTATCTTGTATTAACACTGATGAACTCTTAGGTTGCATCCAACAAGGACGTTTTTGACAAGCTGAATGATAAGTTGCATGAAGAGTCATGTACGTACTGGAGAGACTGGATTCAGAACTATGGATTTTATTTTGTCATGTTGATTCCTCCCATATTTCAGTCTAGGCTGAAGGTCAGTATACAGTTTTAGTGGCCTCATGTTAAGTGAAAATATGAATATTTGTAACTGTTGAGGGAGCATTTGTGAAAAAATCACAGTCTGCTGTTTTCATGGAGTTGATTTGAGGTGAGATACAACATTGGGGGATTATTGTAAGTAACATCAGCTATTACAGTTACTAATGTTTTTTTCTGTGGCTGATCTATATCCTGCTGTAGTCATTGAATATTTGTGTTTTCAGTAATTGGCCTTGTCTTATTTCCATGTTTTTTTTTGTATACATTGGTAAGTTATAAAATATACTTAATTTAAATATCATTGATTACTGTGAAATAACTAAATCCATGTGATTTTGCAAGTGGTATACATTTTCTGTGAATTTCATTTTTTCATGTGCAACAGGTAATGGATCTTCATTTAAATTAATTAATGCATAATTGAAATACAACAGTTTGATCTTATGTTCATTTATTGTTATACTAATTCTAATAAATGTGTAGAGACTGAAGCTGACCTCCAGAATGGAAAATTACAAACGAATGCAATAAATTTCTTAGTCCAATGAAATACAGTATGGTTACTGGGTTTAACCTCACCAGTGAATTGCTGATGGTTAAGACTGCTTGTCCTTTGAATTTGAATTCAGACTGGGAATTTTCTTTGTGCATCGTGTTTCATTGTACATATGTGTATGAGTTATGTTGTAAATCTTAGTTTACTGTTATTTATTTTCTGTATGTCATTTTCTCCTAAAGAACAGTTAATTTTTTGAATAAAGCAATTGACCACTCTGTTTGTTACTTTTGAATTGCTGCTGAGATACTGTTATGACTGAGATTTAACTGTGATATATTGGAACAAAGAAATGGTTGAAGATGCACAGAGAATCTTGTCTTGATGCAGGTGATAAAATTTTGCATTATTTGGTTCAGATTTTCAAATCCCAAACAAATAATAGTTCATGGCTGAGGAATTTCAGTAAAGGAACTCCAGTTTCAAATTACAGATATCAGCATTCAAATAGGCACGGATTAGCCACTAGATCTGTAGTGGTGCCCATTCAGAATATTGCGCATTTTTTCTCTAAGGATAAATTTTGTATGAAAACAGGAAACTTAATTGTCAAAATATCCGCGAAATTTGGTCTTCAGTGCTTTTCTTGTTGAATTTGTTTTGCCATTCCCTTGCCAAATTTGTAAACAAATAGTGAAGCAGGAAAGTAATTAGGGAAATATAAAAAGACGTCTGACAAGTCTGAGTAATGACTCTGATGGCATTCAGAGGCAGCACTGGGTATTTTAACCAATCTAATGGTACTAGACCTGGTTTACCACAACAGTAAGATACTGCTCAGACGGACGTTTAGGACCAAATGGCTCAGTACTGAAATGTCGGTTATACGAAATAAGTATTATTTATGTAATGGATTATCAAATGTGTGTGTTGATATAGATACTTAGCTAAAAGTGTGTTATTTAGCTTGGTCTGTTTGATTTCGCCATGAAGATGGTGAAAATAGAAACGTCACACGAAAGGCAAACCTCAAAACATGAGATCCACGTGAGTGAAAACAAGTGTCTTCTTATATAAACATATCTTTATTTCACATATGCTTTAAATTTTGTAGTTTTTCGTGTCACACTTTGCAATGAAATGTCAAAATCAGAATTCATTAACAGTTACTGGGAGCCGCTGTAACTTTATTGTGGTTTGCTTGAACTGAGTCAGACTGACAGTTTTATCCTTGCATGTAGGCCTTCTCATGATTTTTTGTGCCCGTTTGTTTAGTTTTTATTGCATACAGAGCGTAAAAAATGTATAAACAATGCTTACGTATGTGGTGGTTTTGTGTGTGTACATCTTTTTGGGACACCATTATTTGCTTCATGCCTCTACTCCATTGACAAACCGTACAAACGTCAGTAGCGAATCGTGCAAAAGGCTACTTCCAGTTCTCCTTAAACACTTTAAATGTGCCTATACAATAAAAAAAAACTATTTTGTTTTGAACGAATCTTGGTGTATTTTTCGTCTCTATGGTCAACTTTGACCGTCGTGACCCCGTCGGGGTTTTCTTGCGAAAGTACCACGGTGGTTTCGCTTTGCCTTCCGTGGCCAGTTTTTATCCATCAGACTGGAAGAGAAATGACGCGGACAAACATCCATGCTTTGAGTGGGACTCGAATCCACGGTCCCAGCGGCCAGGCGCTCGAGGTCCATGGCTCAGACCGCGTGGCCACTGCGGCCGGCAATTTTGGTGTTGATCGGACTTATATTAAAACAATTTTCGTTAAATTACTGCTTTATGTAGGATGTCTTGCAACATGATTCTCATAGCTTAAGGACGTGCTTTTGGGCTTAGTTCGAGTCCAAAGTTTCAATAAACGTGTACAAAAGTCAGTCGTTACAGGATGTGGTTATTTTAACCCTTTGAGGTCGAGAGAGTTCGGAAGGATAGCAAAAGAGCAGAACAAAGAGAAAATTGGTGGGGGAGAAGTGTGGGACATTTAATTTCTGGGGGGGGGGGGGGATCCTATAGTTAAGAGGATTCCCAGGCAATGCCCGCTCATCCTTCTGGTAAGGATAAAGTAAGCGTGAAAACGTTAGGGTCATAATTAGTGACTGCTTGATAACATAACGGCGGAATTTTGATTTACTTTTAGTAAATGTTGAAGTTATAATTTGGAAAGTTAAGTACTTTAGTGGTCTCCACAGTAAGGGGATACGGGGAAGGACATTTTGATTTGCAGCTATGAAGGTCCCCAGGCAGCACCCTCCCGTCCATCTGGTAGAAATAGGTTAAGTAAAGGCAATTGGTGATGTACTATCGTATTGTTTTCACAATTTTTACTCGCAGTATCTGAGAATGAGTGATCACGTCTCAGTCAGCCCTCATAAACTGGTCACACATTTGCATCCAATATTGTTTTGTAGGAAATGGAAATGTCACTGGTTTTAATTTTCTGCCTGCACCTTGTACTTATATAGCATGAGTTCAAGATTTCACATATGATTACCTCTCAAAGAAGAACAAACTGAAGACTTTCATGCAGTAATATAATAAACATATTTAAAAATTACAGAAGTTTATGTCTATGATATAAACTGTACAATGTCAAGTTCAGCTAAAAGTTGCTCTGTTATATCTTACAATACAAATTAAGATGTTTTCATGTTCTTACTATGACATACAGGGAAATGTTGTATGATGTACATTCTATTAGTTATAACGCGGTGGGATGTCAATTGACAAGATTCAGTGGACGTGGAAGGGACTTTCTTCATAATGGCATTATGAATGCATATTACCTGAGCCTGACAGAAATGTCCCATTTAAGTAGGCAGAGGAGATGTAGATTTATCTGTATAAATGTCCAACTGCCTACTATTTCCTCTATCCACAGAACAAATGAACATTTAGATCAGTGGTTCTTACAAGAGATTTTCCTTTGGCCAGTAATGCAGCTATAAGTAATTCACTGTTGCCTCATTAAGAAAAACTAAGTAAAATGAAATGCCAAGCATGTATGTACAGATATGTAGTTCTATGGTGGCTGCACATAAATTATCTGGAGGCAGCATATGGCCATGATGGTTGCACTTGATAACCAATGATCTAGATACAAGGCAGCTGCATTTGGGTACATTTACTTGCAATACTTTCTCGCTCACTACATTACAGCCATGATGTTCTCCTGAAATAGTCCTATATATATATATATCTACAAAACTGTGTGAAGCATATTATTAGCCCCATGTCTTAAGTGTTCACAGTTGCTTCTCTGTGAGCACATAGAGAAATAGACCATGTGTATGTGTATCAAACAGGACCTCCAAGACCTCTACCTCTTTGTGTCTTTACATCCTACAGTGCTTGAACAGTGTGTGGTGTCAGAAAATACCCCCATTTCTGTGATCACTGCACCTCTCTCACTCAGTTTTTTGCCCCATTGTAACTCTTGAAGAAATGATAGAAATTCATAATCAATCTGTATAATGCAGCATATTCACAATTAATGAATGATGTACGTACTTGCAGTTGTGTCATACATTCTCATATGTTCATCTCACATCTCCATCATAACTGAAAATGTATAAAATGTTAAGAGTAAAAAATTACCAGTCTGCAATTTATTACACTGGCACAATAGCTGAGCAAATCTGATAAAACTTTATCAGCAATAATTTACATTTCACTGTGTGTTACATATTACTGGGAGTATTTACAAATCACATTCTTAAATATAATTAAATAATTTTTAATTTAACATTATTTGATTTCTATTAAACACATTAAATTACAGTCTGTACAATTTAAACAAAATTTTATGTACAGAGATAGTTTCAATCAGTGGAACTACATTGCATCTTTAACCTATTAATACTGACTTATGACTATATAAATTTATCAATATACATCACCTTTTATTTCTGTTGGACCTCTAACACAGCACTGCACAATTTGTAGTTCTCCCTACCAAATTTATGTGCTATTTGGAGGCTACCACAATATCCACATTATTTTATAAAACTTCAAACTCTTAACTGTGAAGTTAATTGCAATTTGGGTGCACATTTTATGAACATCAATGGAGTTAAGCCTCTAAAGTTTGAGCCTTCTCTTATACAAACAAAGACTTAGGACATAACTTGAAGAGCACACTCTGAATTATGCTAGTATTTTCTCATCTCAGAAGTCATCAAGTCTGTGACATGGCAATACCAAATTTCACAAAAATTAGGACGTTAGTCTGTAACACCAATGTCTGAATCTGAAATGGGGGGCAGATGGACAATTTCAACTATATTATTCTGAACAAAGAATCCAAAAAGAATCAGAATTCTTCAAAAGTGACGGGCATTCATGGCAGCTTTGAAAATACCACTGCCCTTAAATGATTTCATTCTATGACAATTTGATGATATTTCACTAGAAGAATCTTAGAAATAAACAGTATTACATAGTTATTTTTAAATTTCATGTGTCATTATAATACATAGTCATATATGTGTTTTTCAAGACCTTCATTCAGTACTTGCTTAACTCATAATAAGTTACAATCAGAAGTCACTTTCAGTTTACACATAGATATGTCCATATTATTACACACTGAACATTTCAGCAGATGAATCTCTAATATTTGTAATTACAAAGCAATGAAAGTGTCGGAAAATTTTAAGGGATTAAATCATTTTATATTCAAGTGTTCAAAATTAATTACTAAGCATTACTAGAGACAGGAAAGATCTGGTTGTTGCAATACGTATCACTGAACAAGAAAAACAAAATATTTGTACAAAATGTGAAAACCACTAACTGTTGGTTTTAATTTGCAGTGTAACAATGGTAATCTTTAGACCTGGACTAACAGATAAATCTGTTGGAAACTCATGAGGCTCTAAGAGAAAAGATACTTGAGGTAAGCACTGTGAAAATATACCCATATAATAAAAAGTTAAATTTTTATTGTGAAAAATCAACAAAATCTTGGTTTTGTTTCTGTCTTGTTGGTGTCAAAACTAGTGTCAGCTTCTTAAATCTAAGCTCATGCCACTTTCTGCCTCAGTGCAACTGGAACAGTTCAAGAAGAAACAGTGTTTCTTCTGGTTTGCTTTAAACAAATAATTTATGACAATGCAGTATAAGTTTTCACCTGGATATGGTTGAAACCCATCAGTTCATAACACAATTTCTTAGTGAAATTTGGTATTACCTGTTTAAGGAAACTGGTAATGTTTTAAAAAGAAAATTCACTGACAGATCTGGTGTATGAAAAATGTAAAACACATTAGACAGTCATGTAGATGGAGCCCCAAGAGATCAGTCATGCATTAGAGTTTGCTGGTGGGATTATCAGAAACCGCAATCTGACATACTTTACATAAGACTAGTTTGAATGTTATCCAGAATGGTACATAATGGCATAGATATAGATATACAAGTAGTCCTCATTCTTAAAATGGGAGACCTGGTTGGACCCAAAGTAGTGTTTTGACATGCCTTCCTATTTCTTATTTCTGACCAACTCCATGAAACAGAGTCCTTGCTGTAAAGCTCACTGCCATCCTGATAGTAAATTCCGTTTCTCACAGAACTCGAACATTCATTATTGTTTTTACAAGAGCCCATCACTGGATTGTGTCCTGAACCAGATGTTTCCAGTCCATACTACAACACCCTTACTCCAATCTCAATCAAAGTTCTTTAAATGCTGTAAAATCAAGACCTTTCATCATAAATCATTAAGCTGTAAGCTCTCTCTATTGGTCATTATCTTTAGCATCAACCTATCACTAGGAAAACATTTATATTTTGCTGCCAAATTTTAATTTTCACTAAATAATGTGGTTACTAGTGTCACAATAAAAAACGGAACTTTGGAGGTGGAGGTACTTGTTTTGGTTCCTTTACACTAGATTTAGGAAATTCCTTCGAAGCAAGGCCCCGCTTGTAAAGTGTGTACAGGGATGGCAGGCATAATTCCATATGTTCTGACCCTTCCAGAGACATGCCAGAGCAGTAGCTTATATCCAGGTACTTCAGATTGCTACATCTCTGTCCAATTGCTGTAAGGCTTGCATCTGTCAGCTGGGAGCATCCCTGCGGAGGAGATAGTACCCATTATTTAGCACTTGCAACAGATGACAATCACACTGCTATATATCAATTATCCAGAAAAGTTTGAAGAAAAATGTAAACATATCATATGACAGTTGCTTGTATACTGTCCACGATAAACACAATGCCATCACTGAGCAGATTATAAAACATATTTTATTAAGATAATTTGATAATCTGAAGTAATCATGAGGAACCACAGAAATACCATGCTGAGTTCTTGCTTATTAACTTTTTCAGCATGTGTTATGTGCCAAGTTAACATGCTTGATCCATTTTATATTTATTCATAGATATAAAGTGACAGATACCTGCAATTCAAGATGTTTCAGTCTTGACAAATTCGTCACAAATTTAATCATGCCACTGTCTGTGATGTTGTGACATTTTATCATTATAAGGGTTTCAATGCTGGGGTTCTTTGAGGCCAGATCTGAGATGCCTGTATCTGTTACCTGAAAGCAGAATGTAAAATGTACAAAGAAAAAATAACATTGAGAGTAAAAGGTAAGAAGATATCAAGAAACCCAATTAGACATACTAAATTTCCTGATGAAACTAACCTGCTGGCAGAGACTCAGATTTAAATGTCGAAGTTCAAGAAAACTAAAGGCATACTTAAGGCTAACATCTGTGATTCTGTTGCAGCCACGCAAATCTAGTTCTTGCAAACCTGAGGGGAAAAATAGATTACAATGAATCAGTTTTTCTGATGATATCCTTAAATTATATGATCAAACAAAAAATCTGTATTTAAATATTAACATATTCTGCATACCTTTCAATCTAACAATTGAGAAACCATTTTCAACTTCTTCTGTGTCCTGGTCTTCACACATCTGCAATACAACTTTTTTCCTTTTAGCATCATTTACTATATCCTGTTCAGCTTTACTCCTTAGTGATATCCTGTGTAAGCGGTCACTGTGTGGCATACCGTCATTACTAGTACCAAGCAGTCCATTAATTTGTTTTTCCATCTTAGTTCTAACTTCAGTTTCATGTTTTTGTTCTTCTGCTTGTTCTGATCCTCTTGTTCTCAACCCCAAACCTGTGAGTCCAGCATCTGTTACTTGGTCACACCGTGTCAGTTTGAGGGATCGAAGCCACAGTTGGTGTTGGCAAATAGCCTGAATAGACATGTCTGTCACTGCATTGAAACACCATCCAAGGTCAAGATATATAAGCCTAGGAAGGTTCTTTGCTATAAGACACACAGTTCTCTCATCTAAGGAGAGTGCAGCGAGATTAAGTCGTTGCAAATGCAGATTTACGGAGGAGCAAAGTCCCCTCTCAATACCCTCACCTGATACCTGATCACAATGTGACAAGTTTAAATTTACTAATTTCGTGAGATGACAAAGTTCTGATATGCCTGTGTTTGTTATGGCACAGCAGGCCTCCATATTGAGTATCAAAAGGTTCTTAAGGTTGTGACAGATAGCTATGAAAGAAGGATCACCAATGCGTGAACAGTTACTTAAATCTAATTCAGTAAGACTCTGCTGGTACTCTGTGAGTCTGAGTATGCCTGTATTGTTCAGCTGTTCGCAAGACTGAAGATGTAGTGTTTCAAGACATAATTCTGGTACTTCTGCTAGTTGTGACAATGCTGCATTATCAATGAGTGTGTCACCAAATCTCAACTTTCTAATCTTCCCTGCTTGTGACACAACGTATTGTAATATATTACTGAATGTCAGAACACTTTCCGATGCCATTATGTAGCCAGATTTTAACATGTCACCAGGGTAAAATTTCTTACACAGTCCAAAATGGAAAGAGATCTGACATCCTGTCAGTGACAGATCTTCCAAATTGGAACTAATTGCCACAAATCTATTGAAAAGTGCATCTGACAAATATCTATTTGAAGCAAGACTTAGCTTCCTAAGTTTGACGAGAGTCTTACTAAGCAGAATAACATCAGACTTCTGCTCCAGAACTCTTCCTGACATTAAAAGTTCACGACACCCATTCACACTGAGAGTTTCTAAATGTGAGCACTTTAATAAAATATGTACAAAGGTCTTTTCTGATATATCACAGGTATGTAAGGAAAGAGACTGCATTTGTGGACAGAATCTGTCCCAAAATTTGGTTAATTTTCCTCCTAGTTCTACTTCTTTGAACACAAAATGCAGAAATGTTCCAAGACTATTTTCGAGGACTTGTAGTGGTCTCGTGAGGTCATCTTGCAGTACTACTAATTCATTGCTATGCAGTTTGAGGACTTTTGATGCCATATGCCACAAATGGCACACCTGAGAGGCACTTATTCTGTCTGACAAAGACAGGAACTGCAGGATGTATATTATAATCTGGAATATGAAAACAGTTTAAAATATAACAATGACAAAAAGGCAAGGGGGAAAAAGTTTTCGTAGAATGTTTTTAAGAGGTGACCACATAAGCTTCAACTTTTAAAAACGAAAAATTAAAGTACACGTCACAATAAAATATTCAAGATCATACACTTCATAATCGTAGGCATAACTGATCAGATGCCACTGAAGATGTTGACAATTCTTACCTCAATGGGAAGTTCAACAAATTCATCGCTTTTAGTACTTCGATGTCTACTTCCACTTGAGATTGTTATGGCGGACTCCATGTCAGATTGCTGTGTGTGTGTGTAATGTCGGTAATTAATACATTTAACATGAATACTTTTCCAGGACCTTGAACATCGGCGCTTACTGTTACCAGCTGATTTATCTAATTACGTATTACTTCTGTGGTTTAGTTTTGTATCATGAGATGGCATGGCGGTTTCTATGGTGCAAACTTTTGCAGCTAGATGACTCGTACATGAGACATTGATGAACGTGTTAGTTGGGTGTCCTGACTCGCAGGTTGTGAATTCCTTAGGGGACCTGCTCCACAACGATGTTGGTGCGTGCGCCCGCATGCTCGCTTCTGCGCAATCCTTGGGGTGAAAACAACTCCCTACCAACTGGAAAAGCGTATTGTTACAGGAAGCGTGCAGTCTCACAGACTGACTCACTCCGAGCAGACAAGTCAAACAGCTGATTGCTCACTACCCGTCATGCCACATCGTAAATTGCTTCGACGACTACAACGAAACATCGTTAGAGTTTAAAAATAGTCAAGAAATAAATGGACACTTTGAGTTATTTTTCAGTTTTATCCGCCCTGTTTTCATTTCGACTATACATCACATTAAACATCTCCGTTTTTAAAGTCCACGTGGTTACGGACGAAATTCAACCAAACGAAATCATGTCAAGAAACGTCAGTGACAGTTAATTTGCATCAGACTAATAGGTTTATTCTGCTCTTATTAAAGCTGTTTTTTGAGTGGTCGTTTAACTGAAACTAGCTGAAAAACAAATGGTTGTGATAGCTGTGATGGTGTAAGTGGACAGATTTTACATACGATGTACTGATTGTTTCGTTCATGTTACGGTTATTGTTTAAAAAACAACGGGGAATATTTCACTGTCGTTGTTTGGTGCGCAGGAGCGAAATGTGAGTTTGTGACATTTGAACATGTATTTCGTCATTCACCTGATGGTTTTCATTCACGGTCTTGTTCGTTACACTGTGACATTAACACATGCTAAATTCTTTCACTAGAGAACAGTTGGTTGTATTGCTAAGAACATGAAGTCACATGTGATGCTGAGTGTAAACGTCACTGCTTTGGGTTCTGACTGAAGTTTTGTACACAGCACTGGACGTCATCTTCCATCGGTAGCCTCGGACTGAGTGCGGAAGTTGTGACGCCTAGCATCGCGACGATGTCGCGCCGGAAGCAAGCCAAGCCACGAGCAGTGAAGAGTAAGTAACGCCCACTGGGTGGTTTTATTTAAAATTTTACAGACTTGCGGTGACAAGTCATGTTTGTGTATTGATAACATCATAAATATTTATCTAAATGAGAGTTGGAAGAAAATTTGTCAATTTCGCTTTTATCAATTTTGTTTGGGTAAGGAATAAGGATACCTATTATTTACATTTATATCAGTAGGTTATGATATGTTATTCCACACTGGTTATTTATAGTGTGCGGTATGAAAAATTTCCGGATTCATTTTTAGGAATATTTACAGAAATGTTATTGTGCTGTGATGAAGTTTCGTCCCGTGTTGTCTCAGTTCGGAATAAAATAACATTAAAACGAAGATTACAGCCTTCTTTCATTTCTCTAAAATCAGAAAATTATCATCAGTTATCAGCTGCGTTAATCTGTAAGAAATCTGAATGTTTGTATTTGTTTTTATTGTAGCCTAAGTGTTACAGTCCTTAGGCTTACATTATTTTGTTAGAAATTGAGTCTTTTAAACTGAAGTAATAAGGATAGTTACTAATTTTCAGGGGTTAAAAGATCATGCGATAGCTGAACATAATTTTTTGCGTTCACGTTGTTTAAATAGGCATAGTCACATATTCATTTCTTTAAATGAATCTTGTTGAACTCATCTTACGTTGTCTAAATTTTTTTGTTAAAATACAGGCTTCGTCTTTGGTAATGCATTATCAGGAACAGAGATTTGTCATGCAGGCAGCATAAGCACTGTGGCATGAAGGTTCGAGGAGCCACTGTACTTGATTTCGGAAGTTTTATGTCGTTTCATATCGATAATTTAAATGTAGTACAAACAGTTTTTAATTACGGTTTGTTTCCGAACTGAAGTTTTTTGCTGTAAATCGTTAATTTTGTATTACAAATGACAATGTGTGGATGAAGAGGCTGAAATATTGAATCTATATTACGTTTAATTAACTCTTTAAATCCTACTGATAACACTATGTCCCACCTGCTTTTTCGATCGACAGTTCTAAATTTTACCCATAGACTGTATTTATGGTTTCATATGATTCTTCGAACAGACGGCAATTATTCTTCTAAAGAGCATCAACAATTATTTTTGTTATGGTTGTGGGTTGTGTTTTCTTTGAGGTACAGGCTGGATGTTTAAATTTTAAGATGAAGTTAAAATTCAGAGGTTCAACACTGGTATTTCTTAGTTTCGTTTGCTTGTCTATTGTCTTTAATTATAAGCATACATACACTTTTTTGCTTAGTTTGATTCTGCGAGTTTATGCAAACACATTTAGACCACCACCCACGGAGGCATTCTTAGTTACTCATCAGTTTTGTGATTTTTTTTGGTTTTCAAGGCGATGAGAATGTTGTTGTTGTTGTTCTGGGTTGTGACCCCTTGTAGACTCATAGTTAGATATAAACGTTTCAGAGAAACATACTGTTTCCATCTTTAGGGCTGAAGACCTGTCATAATTCAAACAAATAACATCATCACATTTATGAGATCGGAATTTGTGAGATATGCTATATGTGTTCCAAGATTTCTTTTGTTTAAATATCTTATGGTAAATGACGAATCATCATCATCATCATCGTCACCATATTCAATAGCGGTATTAGCACTTACTTACTCCATAGAGCCGAGTCCTTTTTGAGAAGAAAAAGACCGCTCAGCCACTCATGAATTTCCCAACATTGTATGGAATCCGAAGGTTTATTACCGTGTTCACAAGAGCCCACCACTGGTCCCTATTCTGAGCCAGATGAATTCAGCCCATACCACCCCAACCTATTTCTCTAAAATCCATTTTAATATTATCGTCCGACCTACGTCCAGGTGTTCCAAATAGTCTGTCCCAGTCCGAGGCCATGTGTAACATTTCGTAACAATTTATTATTTTTACGGGGAGGAATTGTTAGCCCACGCCCAACCCCCAAGCTGGAGGTCCACACCTTGTCGGCTGTCCCCGACTACTTATTGAATATATTCGAAGTAGCGGTAGTAGTAGCAACGCAGTTACTAAAGAGAAACGAGATATTTTGTTTGTTGGGCCATAAATTCTGTTAGTGCTAGATGTTTCTAGAACTTTAATTACTCGAAGGTAAGTTAGCTGAGATTTGCTTCGACCGAGCAGGTGTAGCACGAGGGAAAAGCTCACAGTACAGAAATGTTACCTTCAAACACGTGCTTACATGATGATAACGATTTTATTTGAAATCTATTACGCCTACTTAAAGTAAACAAACATCTTCTTCTTTTTCCGGTTTAACAATGTTTTCTACATTTTCCAGTACCCTTTACGGGTCCCCAACGTTTTAGTTGGCTTGATCTATGGATCATTTGGTAGGACTCCTTGGACGAGGGATCTGCCTGTCGCAAGGTCACTACCTATTTACAGGACAGCACAACACAGAAAAACATCCATGGCTTGAGTGGGGTTCGAACCCAGGGTCACCGCGACCAAGCGGTACAAGGCCCAGGCCTTAGACCGCGACCCCAAGTAAATAAACATGGGAAATTAAAAGTCAAATGACGGTTAACAGAAAGGAAGATACATACGTGAACTCTCTTTATTTAATTTTATTACATTGTAAACGGGATATTTCTTGAGTTTCTTTTTGCATCACTGTTAAAAATTCAGTGGACTCGAGAGAGGGAGGGGGAGACAGAAGGTGTGTGGTTGGGGTTGCTGTGAGGGAATCTTAATTAGAACTTAATTACTCGACCAACTCCAATCACGTTTGCTGCTAGGACGACACAACCCCAACAGAAATGTAAAATATTTATTATGTAACGTCTGTATTACACTCAGCCGCAGTTCTAATTGCTTGGCGTGAGTGTATATGTTAAAAGACACGTAAGCCGTTCATATTCAACTGGTGTGCCTCCTATAGGAATATACGACGCCATTCTTATTACATCTTTGTGGGATGATTGCCATACAACGCTTTCTTGTTCAGAAAATCCTTTATATCAGGCCCGCCCAACCTATAGCTCGCGGGCAACATGTTGCCCGCGACACGGTGTTATGTTGCCCACGGAGACATTTGAAACGGCGTAGTAGAACGCCGAAGCAATTCCACATTCTACCCCTTTCCTGGAAAACTATGAAAGAAAAGTTACCACCAATTCCATATTCACAAGTGACCCTATCACAAATCCTTATCGTTGGCCATTGTTCTTTGTCGGGATTAAAATGCCGACGTGTATAGTTTCGGGGATGTTTTCTTCTTAACGACTTGCGGATGTGCAGGCACCAGCAGCGGCTTCTTTCTGATATTTTCATTGGCGTTGTTACAGTCGGTCTTATTGTACAAAAGGTCACACCCAAGATAAAATCTATGCAATGACGTCTCCCTTCCACACATGTACTTCAATTTTCATTGACAATCCTGTAATTAGACGCTGTATAACGTAAGCAGTTAACCAAGAGTCGTTGAATAGAGTAAACCACAACAAGTCAACTATCAAACGTTTTCTTCACGATGAATAAAAAAATCCATGTTAATTGTCTTGATCTTGTCCTTATCTGCGAAACGAACCATCCAGGGACAAATTCAACTGTGACCCACTTTATACAGTCCCTTAATTTCGTGTAGTGGTCTCTTCATCCCTAACTGGCTTTACGGTTGATAAAATAACGACATTGCCCTTGTTGGCAGTGCAGGTTAGTGTGAAGGCCACTGAAGGCTACCTTATCTCACTGCCGCGATTTCGCGTCGTCTGGAAACTGCAGAAACGCGTTGAGAAATGCTTTAGTTGTTTTGAGGACACGTAGGAAACTTTTCATAATAGACTATGTTATGTTCAGAGAGGTGAGTCATTGTCAATGACGTATAATGTTACGTCGGTAAACTTCTACCGGATTACACGGCGCAAGAAATCACAAAGCAGCTGTCTTTAGGGGGTTATAAAATTAAATTCACGTTTTAGTTTCGCAACAAAAGCTGATAACTGCTTATAAATGTTACAGAACTGTTCTCTTCTTAGCTTAAGTATCCTGGAATGGTTTGAGGGGCTTGTAACGAGTGATAGATAGCTGTAAGTTTTTATACAATCCGGCTTTTCTTTATGGAAAACGCATAATGGAATTTTACCCTAATTATTTACAGGCAATAACGGGTACTAAGTGGGATTGGTGAACTACGCACATTGATTGCGTTGTAATTGCCGTACAAATATATCAGTCACAAAACCAATAGCCTGAGAGGAAAATTTAGTGATTTTACAATCATACAGGAACTAAATTTAATAGGTAAACATAACCTGAGTAATCTTGGTAGACTATTGACTTCTGTTTGCCTTTAATGCTTCCATAGGAAATTTCACACACTTTACGTCTAGTTACATAGATTCAGCGGAAAAAGTAGTGACAAATATTTGCACCATAGTCATCGATGAAAGTTATTAACACGTAAGCTAAGGGTATTAAAAATTTATACATCTGTTCTACATCAACTTTAGTATTCCAAACTACGTTATAAAATCGGAAAGAATAAGTACGTTTCGTATTGTCGCCATTTTATTTTTGACATTCAACACAAAAATTATCTTAATGTAACTTGCACAAATTCATAGAAGGTATGTTAGTCAGTTCAGAGTCCGGAGGCTTATATAACGTCGTTTCACGTGGCCCGCCTGTTGCTTTTCTTAAGCGGTATCGATTTAAAAAGTAGGGCCATGACAGTGGACGATGCTGTGTCTAAGAGAAGGTTTACACTTTTCTCTGTAAGTATGTCCACAGTGGAGTTTAGCGGCAAATAGATTGTTCATCTGTTATGTTGAGCCGTGTAGTCTTTTATCTGAAGGACTCATTAGTGGGGTACCTCCGCCAAGTCTCTCTCACCTTCGACTTTCATTTGTTTTACAAAACACCTCACGATCTCATCGTTTTCAACGCATGTAGGCATAACAGTCGTAAATTAGGTAACAGTTGGAATTAAGTGGGATTACGTAAATGACCCAAAATTTGTGCTCCAAATGTACATTAATTCAGTGAAGCTAAAGCTA